CGGCAGAGGCGGCCGCGTTAACTCATTTCTTAAAAGCTTTATATTTTAGAAGGTAGAAGTACTAGATTCTTCATACTTTGTATATAGATGCCTTATGTTATGAAGTTACCGCCTGTCATATGTCCATTGTCCTTGACCTCATTTTCATGGTTCAGTGACTACTTGAAAAAAAAAGTTAAGATTTTTTGTAATGTTAATTTCTCTCTTATTATGAGTAATAGGATAACTATATTTTATATGTGTGTACCTTGCAAGGTCTTCATGCCCGTCAGACAGTTTTCTCTTGACCTCGACCTCATTTCATGGATCAGTGAACAAGATTAAGTTTTGGTGGTCAAGTCCATATCTCAGATACTATAAGAAATCGCTCTAGTATATTTGGTGTATGGAAGGATTGTAAGGTGTACATGTCCAACTGGCAGGTGTCATCTGACCTTGACCTCATTTTCATGGTTCAGTGGTTTTAGTTAAGTTTTTATGTTTTGGACTGCTTTTCTTATATTGTATGCAATAGGTCTACTATATTTGTGGTATGGAATGATTGTAAGGTGTACATGTCCAACTGGCAGGGGTCATCTGACCTTGACCTTATTTTCATGGTTCAGTGGTCAAAGTTATGTTTTTGAGGTTTTTTTCTAATACTGTATGCAATAGGTCAACTATATTTGGTGTAAAGAAATATTTTGTGATGCTCATGTCAGTCTTGCAGGTTTTATTTGACCTTGACCTCATTTTCACAGTTCATTGTTCATTGTTAAGTTTTTTTTATTATACTTCACGTTAATATGCCATATTTTGATTGGCTAATACGAGGGTGTTAATTTACTCTATTACCCTTCATGGAGACGCTTGATAATGGAATTTGATGCGACTGTCATACAAGTGAGAGGTTTAGCTAGCTATAAAACCAGGTTCAATCCACCATTTTCTACATAAGAAAATGCCTGTACCAAGTCAGGAATATGACAGTTGTTATCCATTCGTTTGATGTATTTGTTTTTTTGATTTTGCCATTTGATTGGGACTTTCCTTTTTGAATTTTCCTCGGAGTTCAGTATTTTTGTGATTTTACTTTTTGATCAAGTGTGCGATTTATTTAATACGACTCTATCCTATGGCAAATGCTCTATTGCCCTTCACGGAGACGCTTGATCAAGTGTGCGCTTTATTAAATACGGATGGTTGTTATGTACAAGACGTCATAGTTTATTACTTTGAATTTGAAATTTAATTGACAGTAATAACAGAACATTCTGTATAATAAATTAAATAACACATATCTGAGAGGGTGATAGAGCAGATTGTTACCCCTGGAAAAGACATTGTCAACCTTGGCTTCGCCTCAGTTGACAATGTTTTCTCGAGGTAACAATCTGCTCTATCACCCTTTCAGCTATGTGTTATTTATATAGTGTTTTGGTCTGTTTTTCCTAAACTATAAGCAATAGGTCAATTATATTTGTTGTATGGAAGGATTGTAAGCTGTATGTGTCTGTCTGGCATGGTTCATCTGACCTTGACCTCATTTTCATGGTTCATTGGTCAATGTTTAGTTTTCTTGGTTAAGTCTGTTTCTTAGAAACTATTAGCAATAGGTCAACTATATTTGCTGTATTGAACGATCGTAAGGCGTACATGTTTTTCACGTTTGGTTTATATGACTTTGACCTCATTTTCTTGGATCATGTTAAGTTTATGTGATAGTTATAGTAAAGCTTTATATTTAGGACTATCAACATAATATCAATGGTTAGTAAAGAAGGCGAGACATGTCAGCGTGTGCACTCTCGTGTTTAAATATACTTATAATGACGTCAGACTTTATCAGCGTCCTTGAAAACTAAATACAGGAGACAACGTGTGATTCTTGAACTAAGAAGTTTCTTTTTATGACAATACTTTGCACATAAAATAAGGACAACCTGTACATAAGAGACGAGTTAAAACTTGTTTTTATGTATATCAGCCAGTATGGTGATGAGGCTATTCTACAAGGATGATTTCATCAGTTCATAGGTTAATTTTTCTCCTTGGGGAATTTTCAAAAGTTGTTGACTTGGCAAGAGCTTATGGAAATGATAATATACATGCATGTACTAACTGAAGTTTATTGTGATGATTAAATATGAACTAAAGATGACATAATCTTAGTCGCCATCTCCTCCAAAGGTTTACCTCTGACCTGGCAAAATTTGAAGATAAGACTGTACTTTCTAACGTATCGTGCGCGTTCTTGCTTAAAGACATTTAACATGGTAATCGTTTTCAAACCGTCATTGGGTCTCATTGATTGTAATATATTTCGATCTCATTTTAAAATGCGCAAAATATCGAAGATAAGATTTTTAAAATGTCTTGTAGCTGTGTCTGGCCTTATATGTGCAAATTTTATAAAGCAATGAAAGATAAAAAAAAATTACGTTAAAACGAAAAGTCTTCTGTTAAAAAAGAATAACTTTAATATCAAACTACACCTTTTCCGGATATACTAGTTACTGTTAGTGTCGAAAATTTCTCCGTGATCAAATCGTGAGCCTGCAATGTAGATCGTGGTCAAATATCAAGGATATTGACAGGCTGATTTTGATTAAATTGTATCACTCCGTACTCACGCCAAAATTGAATTATATTTCTCCTTAGCCTTACTCTACGCTAACACTGGATTGTATCTCCCCTTGTCCTACTTAATAGATATTGGAACATTATTCTGGGGTGTCACTTTTAGATTTTCTTTGCAATTACAATGAATTATTGAAGTAAATTCAACATATAAGAAACGCACAACCTTCATTAATTTCATTGGAGTCAAACATTCTATTGTGTATACGTTTAATTAAGCTCATTGAAATCAAAAACGTCACTGCAGACACGGCCATAGCAAACGAGTTCGGATTTATTTTTTAAAGAGTGATTGAAATGAAAAAGGTTTAGAATATTTGTGTATTATAATTCTAGATTCTAAAAAAATGGAAACTCGACTGCCCCTTGAAAAAGTCAATCGCATCTGTGAATTCATTAAAAAATTATACATGAAAATTCATGAATAAAAAAGGAAATGTTGCAGCTTTTGGGAAACTTAAATTTTGCTTCACGTGTCATTTTACCTGGTAGATCCTTTGTTTCTTATCACATAGGGCTGTCCACTACTGGCAATGATTCGCACCACTACGTCAAATTGAATAAGGAATGACGTGTTAACCTAGAGTTTTGTGTGCTTTTTCTAGGCAGCTGGAATGGTGTGAACATGTTTTACAGTAGAATCATTCGAGCGTCACTGATGAGTCTTTTGTAGACGAAACGCACGTCTGGCGTACACAATTTAGATCCTAGTATCTATGTGATGAGTTCATTTGTTAGATGTTTTTCTGATTTGTATCGATCTGATGAGTTTCAAGCCCTTTTCAACTGATTTTTATAGTTTGTTCTTATGTTGTACTGTTACACCACTGTCCCATGTTAAGGGTAGGGGGAGGGGTGGTGCCTTCAAACAAAACATGTTTAACCGGTATATTTTTTTTTCGTAAATTGTTTTGTTTTAAATTAGGCCGTTAGTTTTCTCAATTGAAACGTTTCATATGTTTCATGTTGGGGCCTTTTGTAGCCGGCTATACGGTAGGTTTTTTCTGATTATTAAAGGCCATACGGTTGTCTATAATTGCTTACATCCACTTCATTTGCAATTTGGTGGATAGTTGTCTCATTGCGTGGCAATCATACCACATCTCCTTAATTTTATATCACATGAATTTTGATTTTAAATTTCAGAAAGCATAAATTTGTATTTCCTGCCATAATTGTGAAGAAAATTTCATACATGGCCATTATGTGAAATAATACATAAGTATTCAGTAAACAGGAAGGCGATGAGCAATTGATGTGAAAATGCATCAGACAGTATACCATGCTCACATAAAGATTGATATCTAACTTTTTTTTGAGAAAATGGGACAAAATGTCATACATGGCCATTTTGTAAACTTGAGAATATATGTGATTATATAAGTATTTGGTAAACAGGAAGTTCATGAGCGATGAATCTGTAAATGCTTCATATAGTTAAACATTCTTACATGAAGCTTGACACTAAATACCAAGAAGCTCTGATCTGTAGTATGCGAAAATAATGCAATCAAAAATATTATGGGAGGGACCGACGAACGGACGGGTAGAAGTCACCAGTATTCCCTTCTTTGAAGCAGTGGTATACAAATTGCTCTGTAAACAATGGAGTATTTAAAGATAATGATTAAAATATTTTTGCAAATTTGTAGCAAAAACAGGAAATTGTGAAACTAATATCTTGAAAATGGTGCGTTATTTGTTTTGCTGAGTACACATATTTATTCATAGTACACTTCAAACATATATGAATTGATTGAATCTTAATCACTTCAAATTGAAGAGCGAAAGATTAGATATTGTATAGGCGAACAGGCCACTCACTTCAGGCTCATATTATAGAGAACATGTATTACTTAGATTTGCTTGTACAGAGAGATGCTAATATTTTTAAAAAATGGCTAAAAATACACAAATAGAGGTAAAATGAAAAAAAAAAAGAAAAAAAAAATCGTCTATTATCTTAAAAATCGTTCAATAGATAGACAATCTGACAGAGAAAAATTGTTCAGAATGTCAAGATCTACCTTCTGTACATCTTTTTCATGCATCACCATGTTGCGGTTATATAAAATATAATCCTCAGTTTCAAATCTTAGTCACAGAATGTGCTGAATTTAGATTTCTTTAGAAAAATAGAAAGCTGTGACATTTGTACGCTTTCAATACTTATCTATTAAAACATAGCTAAATACTAGACATGATGTAAGATGATGTAACATGATGATAGAATGCAAATAATGAAAATATAACCGCTACTGTAACAAACAGCCCTACCAATAGTTCAGTGGCTGTCACAATAAAAATCTGAACTCAAGAAGATTACAAAACGTATTCGTCCGGATCGTACGTGTTTCGTGACTAATGCGGTTATCAAAACGCCCACTTTTGTATATTATGATTAAAAATAGAAAGTGAACTTCATTTGAAGAAAAGGATATAAGAAAGATGAAGTATTTAATTATACTAGTAAGTATAGCTTACTTTTATTACTGGTTGAGCATCTTCAGCACACCACCAAAGACCTTTCGTAAACATACTTCTCATTTGGCAGCATTTTGACGAGAAATTTGTTTTCATAATGCACATTTGGAACAAAGTTATTTAAGAATCATGGTGTCTTTTTAAGCACAATGTATTGTACCAGTTTATATTAAAAAAGGAGGTTTTTGGAAATACATGTTCATTTAATGTATCTTATTGATCATATTGCAAATCTTAATTTGATGAATATAAAATTAATTGGATGCTCAGTTTGACTGTGAACAATAAAATTGATGGATGTTGAAAATCTTATGACACAAAGTTAGACTCTTAGTTTCTTAATAATTTTAAAACTTATCAACGGAGAATTTAAGAAAGGTACTTTATTATTCATGTCAGTTCCTAAGCACCGACTACTGATAACGTCAATAAGGTCACACATACGATGTAAACTCCTCCGTACTATTAATACACGGGTAGTAACGTCGTCATATCGATGATCGTTTAGTACAGTGATTTTATCATAGTTTAGTTAAGTTAAAAACAATAAGCGAAAAACAAATGAGATATACATTAACAAATGACAGCCAATGCATTACAGACTCTGGACTTCGGACAGGCACATACAGAATATGGCGTGGTTAAACATGTTTGCGGGCGTCCAGCCCTCTACTCGTCATTAACCTGGGCAGTGGTGTAACAGCACAACAAAGAAGAACAAATTATAAAATCAGTTGAAAAGGACTTGAGTCTTCAGATCGATTCAAAGCAAATTAATCAAGTAATATAAACACTAAAAACACAAAGAACCGATCTGTGAGTACTCGCATTTACTGGAAGCTAGTTCCAAGCCAATAACAACTAACAAAAATATCATGAATCCAAGACAAACGTTATCTTTTGTCGGGTCAAAAATAAGGTCGTACACAGTTTAAATGTACTTGTACCAAGCAAAATAACACGTGTTTCTTGGAATTTAAATCATTTTTTTCAATCACGAATAATAATGTTCATTTTTTCAAACTAAGTATTAGATCGACAGAGCTTTTTCTGATATTATCGAAATTTAATTGGATAGAAGAAAAAAGCTTAAACGGGTTAAGTGATACTACACAATACATTTGTACAATGTGACAAAAACGTAATCAACTTTATTCATGATAAAAATGGACATTGTATCAACCTAATTCTAATTCGAAATTGTGATCTTTCATATATTTGAATTTGGAAAGTAGTTTTCTTAGTAATTTTATTTATAGTTTAAAAAAAAAAAAGTTTTAACTGTTGTCCATGTTAACAGTTTGTCCCGTGGAGGGTTGAAGACTGTATGGTTCCCTCTCGATATTGTTTGGTTAGTTTTTGTAGCTGGATTACTGTATCATAGGCGTATAACCCAACATCTCCTTATATTCATCATAGACATAATCTGGTTCAACATAAAAACAACAGATGTATAGTTTACTAGAAAAAAAAAGTAAAACAAAAATTATGTTTTGATTATAGTTTAAACTTTATGTAGACGTAATTAACCATTTGACTAGGAACGCCGCTCACGATATCCCCGGCAGAGTCCATCATGGAAATACGGAGAAAAGATTCTAGGTGAAACAGAAGCAACGCTTTCTGTTTTTGTAATTTATCTGATCTAATGCCAATTAAAAACAGCAGGCAGTGGATATATCAATTCTATCTTAGGAAACACACGAAAAAAAAAATAATGTACGCTTTGCCAATTACGCCCACCAAGGCTTTTTTTCCCTTCCTAGTCAATTGGTAAATTGTGTAACTTCGTTTTTTCATAAGCGCCATCAAACAAACTATCGATATTAAGGTGAAACAAATATGTATTAATTTGGATCTAAACCATGACAAATGTGATCAAAACTATGACGAATTTCTAGACACTTAACTGAACCATGGCAATCGCTTAACCAAACCATATCAATTTCGATATTTTGGTTATCCTGCCTTAATTTCTTAAAAACAACATTTTCAATGTAGATCGTTTGACTTACAATATAGATTCAAACATCTTATTTGTTTTTTATTTGCTCATTTAAAAAAGAACTGAGGGAATCGTTCTGGAAAGTAACCTAATTTAACCAAACTATGACAAAATCACTGTACTAAACGCTCCTCGATATGACGACGTTACTACCCATTGTTTTAAAAACTTAAATTTTTTCGAAATACTTAGGATTGTCTACCCAAGGAATAGATTACCATAGCTGTATTTGTCGAAACCTTTCGGAATTTTCAGGTCATCAATGCTCTTCAATTTCTCACTCTATTTGGTCTATGTAACATTTTTGATTAAATCGCATCACTGATGAGTCTTTTGTAAACATTTTAATGCTGGTATCTATGATGAGTTTATTGTAGTAGCTCGTCCAGCCTCTGACAGCATGGACACTGTAATAAGAAGATACACAATATGTTATCATACCTCTTTATAATCTCTCAACTCAGCATTGGCAAAAAACAGCAAAATATAACATGCACAAATGACTGGGTGTGATAAAACTAATCCTTTTCGGTCCCACGAATTTGAAAATCAGAAAGTTTCATAAATCTATAAAAAAAACATCCTTCAGAGGTTACATGTATCAGACATTAGTCTGTCAGATATCATTATTTATATTTTTTAATAAAATCTTCCATATTTGCATTCGGTAAACTTCTTGAATTTAGTTAGAAACCTGTAAAAACTGCTTAAATCGTATCATTTTCAGATCTTGTCTTAAATATTTAGATGTGAGCCAATACTTTACCAAAAAAAGATATTTTTCTGCAAGATGTATTTTACAAGAAAGATGTTAATGTGTATAAAACATTTTTAGGTGAGGGCTTAGCTCATATCCTTTGTAAAAAAACTATGTGTAGATAAAGGCAACAGTAGTATACCGCTGTTCGAAAACTCATAAATCGATAGAGATAAAAACAAATCCGGGTTACATACTAAAACTGAGGGAAACGCATCAAATATAAGAGGAGAACAACGACACAACAAAAACACAACATTAAAATGTAACACACACAGAAACGAACTATAAAATAACAATGGCCATTTTCCTGACTTGGTACAGGACATTTAAAAAAAAAAATAGTGGGTTGAACCTGCTTTTGTGGCATGCCAAACCTCCCGCTTTTATGGCAACGTCAAACACAACACCAAAACGACAACATCACATGACAGTACCACAATACAAATAAATGGTAGAACATATAGGACAAAGAAACACACGAATAATAGCTAACAAAAGGTACTAGGCTTAAAATTCAATACGCCAGGCGTGCGTCTTGTCCACACAAGACCAACCAGCGACGCTCAGATGAAAAAAGTTTGAAAGCCAAAACAAGTACAAAGCTGAAGAGCATCGAGGACCAAAAGTTCCAAAAAGTTGCGCCTAACACGGCCAGTGTTTTCTGCCTGGGACAAGAACATCCTTATTATTTAGAATAATTTATAATTTTGCAAACAGTAAATTTTATAAAATGACTATATAATAGATATACATGATAAAACCAAAGTGGGGACTAACTACAAAATAAAAACGGATACATTACATAAACCAACACATAAAAAAATACACAGCCAAGTTAGCCAAAGCCTCAACGCACAAAGTGACGTCACATTTTAAATTTTAAAAAAACACACAAAGTGACGTCATATTTGAATTTGTAAAAATATTTCCCAAAAATAAGATAGGATTAGGATTGATTAAAGATTAGATTTGTAATACTTACATTACATCTATTAATAACAATGAAAATTACAATACTTATTAATATCAAATGGTAGTAATTAGATAATTAATTGTATTATCTAGCTATGTCGGTGTTTTTCTGAATCAAACTGTAAACCAAATATATCGTATAAATTTCGTTGAACCAAACTAAAATCTAATAAATGAAGGGGATGATTAATTATCTTTACCATAACACACGAATATAACAGAAAAGACGTTAAGACATTTGACAAAATCCGACGAGAACAACAAATATAACATCAAAATTAAATAGATGAATTTGGGATAGAAAGGTACCGTGACACGTCTAATAGCAAAGCGGTTTCACACTCAGCAAAACAGTCACAATCGGGAATAAGTCACGTTCGGTAATTAAAAGATCAGACGACGTAATGACAAACCACAATCTAACACGTGGTGAAAATGTCCTTAGTTAGTTTGGACACATCGTATGGATCAACCAATTGGTGATGGTGTCTGTAAAATTTACGGAGTGTCATTTTTAATCTGTCGTCCTCATAACTTTGTTGGAGCAGTTTCTGCGTAAGGAGCACACTCCTGTATATGAAGTCCGTATAGTGTGAACAAGCACGAGAATAACGTATCATCTGAGATATGTAAACACCATACGAAGGGGCAGATGGTATGTTACTGCTGAGAAATGGGAAATTGATAATTGGGAAGTTGAAATCGTCCCGTTTATCATAGATTTTCGTGTGAAGTCGTCCATCTGTGTCAATATTGAGGAAAAGATCAAGGTATGAAGCAGTCCTTCTAGTATCAGTAGTATCCTTAATTTCAAGTTCACTGGGATATATGAGATGTAAGTATTGGCTGAAATATGGGTTATTCAATGATAGAACATCATCAATATACCGGAAAGTAAAATTAAAGAATTTCGCAAGGTGCTTTTTCTTTTAAAATTGCCATTGTAGGTCAATTATGTCGATTTCAATATTACAGTGACTTTTGTGCTCTTAAGTGTCCGGTTGATATTAATCTGTTCATTCATCAATAAACTAAGCATTATTTTGAATGGTTTGATTAGTTTTAGTAATTTGCTATTTCAGAGGCCAAATTATGGCTCTTATCACACTTCCTCTTTAAATGTATCTGATCTTTGTCTCTAAATGCAACAAAGTGTGAAGGAATCAAATTTCTACAGATCTGATTATCAAAGCAAAGTAGAAATCCGGACTTGAAATTTAAGAAATCGGACTTTAACACGAATCTTCCCTAATACTATAAAAATTATATATACGAGTTATGAATGCCAAGATAGGCTCGCTGTATTCCATGGTCTTGGCACAAAAAATATACATGTACAGATCAGCTACATTTATCTATTAAATATCCTCTTCTTTCTTTGCTTCTCATGGTTATAAGGGGTATATTAAAGACATTTTAATTGTAAGGTTATAACGTGACGATAGATTTAAAAGGGATTTCCTATGAATATATGCGAATGTTTGTCACAAGAAGATTTATTTTTCAGAACTAAGCTACAGAAAGAACGAACAATATGACTACTATGGTACCATTATCGGTGCATTATCACAACCACTGTTTGCAAAATCCGAAAAAAAAACCGTATTTATGAAAGTTGTGATATTAGTTTCTATTTTAGAAAGTCTTCTAAATTTACGGAAAACGAAATGTTCTATTTAAAAATTGTTATTTTTTTACAAGCTTAACACAGTATTTAAAAAAAACAATTAATAGATAAAAAAGACAACATCATATTCGAATGCAAAAAACGACGAAAAGACAGTCCACATGTTCTCCACAGGAATTTGAAGATTGAGCAACTCAAATTCACCAAAAACCGAGGAGAAGTCGAGTCCTTTAGACGGTTGTTCATGGGAAGTAAACATTCGGGTTATTTGTCGCATTATATGATGTTACATTTGAATAGATGATGACAGTATTTTGGTTACAACTTGAGGAACATATTTATATATAATATTTATGGTAATCCGGAACACAGATATTTCATAATGGTCAGTCCAATCTCTATGGCGCCCGTAAAAAGCTTTACTATATGGAACCCTTTGAAACAGAAAAAATCTTTCCCGAAAATCATAATAGGAAACTGGAGCTATAATAGAAATAAAAAAACACAAAGAAGTGTATTGACATAAGATAAAAAAAACTGCTGCACTTAGTGAAACTTGGTTTTGTTTTGCTTCTTTTTTTTAAGGTATAGAACAACAATCCCCCAAATCAATACATGATATTTATTTCCTCAAGACAAAGGAACAATGTCAATAAATTTAACAAGGACCGGCTATTCTTTTTTTACGAAATGGCGAAAAACTTTGTCTACGTCGTTGAAACTGACTGCGTCATTTACCTTCTTTGTAGAGTGTATTAGGAATTGTGTGGTGTACCAATTATCATTTAAGATTAAGAAGAAGTACAACATGTACCAAATCATATGACTGTACTTCAACCGCACCTTGCTGTAGGGATGCTAACCATCATATACTTACTGACCAGGAAACACACTTTGGTATGTTATTGTCTTACTGTTGTTGAAAGAAGTATTACAATATCTCTTACCAGTAAAAAGTTAGATTTACCGATTCTGAAATGGCAAATTTGTCCCGCACAGTGTGTATGATTAATGCACTAGTGTAATACTGAAAGCCTGTAAACTCAAATTATAATTGATTTTAAATCATGAGAGAGTACTAAATGAAATTCAGCGTCTTGTTCTATTTTATGACCTTATCCTTTCTAGCCTAGTTATCGGTTACCTAATAACATAGACTGAGATCTAGGATGATTTCCAAGAAGTGGGATTAAGCAAGAAAAATCAGTAAAATTAGAACCGTTTCTGTTTTTCTCAATCCCACGTATCCTCCCGTTTTAACATGTTTTGACACATTGGCATATTAAGCTGTTTTTTTGCCATTTTTTAAGATAATTTTTCTTTTATGTTTTACTACAGCTTTTCATTATAATATTGAAGATAGAAAAATTAACAACATACAAAGAATCTCCGAACTGTCGTATGGCGGTGACAAATACACCCAACATACCTTGTTAACGTTTTTTCTCTGTAATTATGTAAACACTTCAACTGGTTCGGACCATTTTTATAATTATTTTGTTTTAATTGCCACATGTTATATCCTGGAAATATCTTTTGGAAAATATTATATGCTTTTTTTTTTTTTTATAAAATTCAATCATATAGGAGACATATATTACAATTTTATCTCATTGTTACGATATTCATGAACTACGTGTGCCTTATGTGCAGTACGGATCTGCTAGCCCTTCCGGAGTAGCTGCGTTATTTTTTGGTTGGGTTCGTGCTCAGTCTTCAGCTTTTTTATGTAGTATTTTAAAGGCTTCTGGCTGTCTTTTTTGTCGTTTTACGCATTTGTACGATTTTTTCAGTCTCACTTCGACTCTCCAGTTTTTATTCTCCCTTATGTATCATCAGTCTTTTTCGATATCTTTCGATTTGTTTGGAAAGCCTTTCATTTCAAATCGGACTTGTTGAAAGCCTCACTGATCGAAGAATTTTCGTAAAATCTGTGTTAAATTGAAATAAAATTATGAAAGGTCTGCAAATTGCCTACTAATCTAATGACAATAATAAATACCTCATTTGCTTATTAGAACCGGTTCTAGGTGGTTCAAGTGGAACTTGTTCCAGTGTACTTGGAAAGAATGGTGACGTTTGTGATTCTTCTTGTGGATGCGAATCAGGTAAGTTTATTTAATAAAAATGAACGAAGCATAAAAAGTATTTGTTTTCAATTATGCATGCGATATTGTCATACGTGTACAACAAAAGAAACTCAATCTAATCGTTAATGACACAGAAAGCCTTAAGTAAAAATTAAAGACGGTCTAAAAATATGTCCATGTTTTCTTTCTCTGTTTGCATTTTTACAGAACTCACAGTATGAACAAAATGAAGTTTTTTTTCTATTCGTGTGGTTTAAAAGCGTTTTATACTTATTAACATGATATGTTATCCTAAATTGATTTATTAATATATGCCTATATGTATTCAAATTAAACAATGATAACGATAAAAAAATTCAAAAGAAAACAAAAAAAAAAGCCCATTTTGTAATTATTTAAGTAGTTCTTAAATAAGACAAGAGTAAATTGTGAAGAGTCGTTACATTTTAATTCAGTTGATGTCACCCGTTTTCATCAAATGATAAAAAGTCGACTGAATGTGTTTACGTGTTTTCCGTCTTTATATTTATTTCATACAATATAAAGACACAATTTTTTGTTTTGTTTAATTGATTGATTGATTGATTGTTGGTGTTTAACAACGCCACTTTCAGTACTATTGCCTATAACATGGCTGCCAGTTTTTATTGGTGGAGGAAGCCAGAGTGCTCGGAGAGAACCATAAAGCTTCAGAAAGAAAACTGAAGATCTTAATCAAATAAGATAAGATCCGAACGCACGTGCGGGATTTAAACTCATAACCTCTGTTTTGATAAGTTAGTTATTGCTGTAGATGAACTTAGACCACTCGGTCATCGAGGTCTACGATGTGTTTCATGGAAACCGGCTAAATCAGATAATTCTGACATGTAAAGTTAAACACTCATTAAATAATAAATGTCTATCATGATGAATGAACTATGCCGAAAAATCCCCCCATATCATATCATTATTAAATTAAAATATCATTAATCTTCACATACCATCTAAATTCCACCGTAACACCATTTTATTTTATACAAAGCTGTGATATAAATCTGAAATAATTACATATATCTGTATCTAATGATTTTGTTTTATTATTGTATAGGTTATAAATGTTATCGGCCAATGTCTGGAGCGTGCTGTCCTCCAATGAGATGTTATAATGCCACCTGGGTAGAAGAGCAACAACATTACTGGGCTAATTGTCGCCCACCAACATGTTATGTACCTCCATAATGCATACCATAACAAAATAAACATATTGAACCGCGTATTTATAGTTAACGACGTTTATGACAGAGAACATTTGTGTTGAACTGCCCTAAGCAATCGGTTACTCTAATTCTAAGCAGATTTGAACGTTTTCCGACCAGTTGATTTTTTGTTTTATAACCAACGCGTGGTTTGTTTGATCTCAATTGTTAATTGGTCAAAATTTGGTTATGACGTCATATTTTTAGATCACCTTGCCCAATAGGCCAATTGAGCTTTTTTATCACTTGGCGTCCGTCGTCTGTCGTCGTCCGCCGTCGTCGTCGTCCGTCGTCCGTAGTCGTCGTCCGTTAACTTTTACAAAAATCTTCTCCTCTGAAACTACTTGCCTAAATTTAACCAATCATTATTGCGGTATCTAGTTTAAAAAATATGTCCGATGACCCCGCCTGCTAATCAATATGGCCGCCATGGCTAAAAATAGAACATAGGGGTAAAATGCAAGTTTTGTCTTTTATTTTGAAAACCGTTATGAATAGAGAAAATCTGACAGTAGCAGAAATGTTCAAAACGTCAAGTTCTACCAATTGTCTGTATACGTCAAAATTGTCAGTCGACTTCTTATAGGAGTTATTGCCCTTAAGGGACAAATTTTACCAATTTTTTTTCATTTTTGCCTATTATCATGAAAACTATAATAGATACAGAGAAACATTAAATTGCAAAAATGATCAGCAAGACAAGTTCTACAAATAAATCCCATGTTGAAATTGTCAGCCGACTCCTTATTAGAGTTATTGCCCTTTGATGATGATTTTTATCATTTTTTTGCGTTTTTGCCTTATATCTTAAAAATTATAATAGATAGATAGAAACTTAAATAAGCAAAAATGATCAGCAAGACACGATCTACAATTCAGACAATATAGAGGAAATTGTCCGACGTCTCCTTGGAATTATTGCCCTTTAACGACCATTTTTACCATTTTTTGAGGGTTTTGCCTTACATGATAGAAATTATAATAGATAAATAGACACGTTAAATCACAAAAATTATCAGCAAGGCAAGTTCTACTAACAAGTCAAATTTTGCTGATATAGGTAGTTGTAGACTGTCACTCTTTATAGGAGTTATTGCCCTTGATTTTTTTTACCCTCTTTTGTGTTTTCAGCAAAAACTAAAGAAGATATTGAGAAACTAAACAATCTAAATTATCAGCAATACAAGATCAACAAAACAGAATTTTTTTTCATGAATTCTATTCTCGTCTACAATGTTGGAGAGTGTCCTTTGTTGAATATGCACATAGACCAAGGTGAGCGACACAGGCTCTTGAGAGCCTCTAGTTTTGCCTGCCTTTGATTTTGAGATTGTGATAAATAGCCGTTTCGTTGTTATATCCATTGCAAAAACCGAAAAACAATTAAAGGACAAACAACAGTATACAAAACACAACATAGAACACAATTTTCGTCTTTTATTTTGTGTATGTGAAAGTTATTTTCAGATATGCAGACTCTCTTGTTTAGTCTTGGCTGTAGTCACTTTTGGAATGTATCTACCTTTAATGTGCAGGCTTTTGAAATGTATATTGTATATATAGGACACTTAAGTTAAACTTGCTATTCATCTTAAATGGAAATGTTTACATAACAAGAATCGTTATAACAAAATAATTTTACTTGTATGCTTCTTATAATTGAATAATACACAACAAGAAAAAACATGAATTACCAAACATGCTGTACATTAGAACAGACCACACCAACGTTGGGCTCATCCAGAAAAAATAGACATACATACAAAGATGAACAACACCGAACAAAACATGTTACAAATAGCCTGCCTTAGCTTGGTACAAGCAACTTGTGTGGTGGGGTTAAATCCATCTTTTGTGCTTAAATACTTAAAACTTTGCCTTTCTAACCCTTATGTCGTTCAGTTAAAGAACACAAAAACATGCTTGCACTGTGCACAGTGCAGCTTTCTAAATATTCCATATTACGTAAAATAAAGGATGCACTGTGCAGCTTTCTATATATTCCATCGAACGTGAAATAGTTCTCGTAGCTTGACATTTTAAAATTGTCGATGAGGGTGTGTTCAGTTCTCTTAGCTTGACATTTTAAAATTGTCGATTAGGGTGTGTTCAGTTCTCGTAGCTTGACATTTTAAAATTGTCGATGAGGGTGTGTTCAGAACACACCATCACGACAGAAGACATGATTTCAGGTTCCCAATTGTATAATTTTCATTTCGATGTAGCAGTGCCTGCATATGGAGTATATATTTTATTTACTCCCATTTTTGTAAGGTATTCCAGAGCTTACGTTTCCAATCACGATGTCCTTGATAGATGGTTGCTGCTAACAAGGATGCCATTGAACCAAAGGTTCTAAGTGGTAGCATTGAAGTCATCCCTTCGAAAGATGAACAAAGATATGTCCCGATTGTCGTAGTTACACTATCGTCCTCTTTCTCCCGATTGTGACATCAACTAATTTGTACTTATAATGAACTTCATGAAGGACGCTACTAGTGGAGCAGGATATTCTTACCCTTCCGGAGTAACTGAGATCAACTCCAGTGTTTGGTGGGTCTCAATTTGCTCAGTCCTATAGTTTTAATATAAAGTAGTAGTCGGGGACTTGTCGTCGTCTGTCGATTGTTTTGCCATAGCGTTAGCAGTTTTTTTTAATTAAGATTGAAAATAAAATGACCACTTTATTACTTTCGTGCGTCGTAGCAGTTTTCTGAACCTAAAAATGTTAAAGCCAAGGATGCAAACATATTGAATATTCCCTTGGTATCTTCCGCCTCTTTTTTTATCAACAGGATGCCCACTTATGTCGAAATCAAGCGCGTTTTTATGTTTAATAGGGATGTTAACTATCATATGTTGTATATAAATATTTATTCCTACAAAAATCAATAATTGATATTTCAAATATATTTGATAAAATTTAAATTGAACGGTTTTTATTAAATAGTACCAAGCAATAAAAAATAGATTCAAACTATCTATGAATTGTTGCAAGTTATTTCGTTTTCGCTTAAATACAGGTCATTATTCAAATTTAAAGTACAGGCACAATAACATTGGTTAAATAAGGTGACACTAGTTTACCGATTTTGAAATTTCGTAGATCGATAACAGAGATAAAAATCAATATATCTAACAAAAACTGAAAGAATCGCATGAAATCCAAACAGAAGCGAAACCTGGTGAGCATCCAGTTATTTGATTATTTAAACTTCATCTGTAAAAATATTATCGGTACCATATTTTTACTGCACCAAATACGCATTTCGATAATTTATGTATATTCAATGGAGCAGAGGGCCAGCATATTTGATATAAATACTTTGAAGAGCTAATAAAACCCGAAGAGACATTTTCGATAAGGCTATATCTAAGTAAAAAGGTAGTTGATATGAAACATACGCATTGTAATGTACATTAAGGTGAGTTAGAGAAAACGTAACTTAGATGTACCTTATGCTGAGAGAAAAATTTAACTTTGATGTACCTTATGCTGAGTTAGAGAAAACGTAATTTTGATGTACCTTATGCTGAGTTAGAGAAAATACAACTTAGATGTACATTATGCTGAGTTAGAGAAAATGTAACTTAAAGGTACCTTATGCTGAGCTATAGAAAACATAACTTATATGTACCTTATGCTGAGTTAGAGAAAACGTAACTTAGATGTACCTTATGCTGAGTTAAAGAAAACGTAACTTAGATGTACCTTATGCCGAGTTAGAGAAAACGTAAATTAGATGTACCTTATGCCGAGTTAGAGAAAACGTAACTTAGATGTACCTTATGCCGAGTTAGAGAAAACGTAACTTAGATGTACAGTATGCCGAGTTAGAGAAAACGTAACTTAGATGTACCTTATGCCGAGTTAGAGAAAACGTAACTTAGATGTACCTTATGCCGAGTTCGAGAAAACGTAGCTTAGATGTACCTTATGCCGAGTTAGAGAAAACGTTACTTAGATGGACCTTATGCCGAGTTAGAGAAAACGTAACTTAGATGGACCTTATGCTGAGTTTGAGAAAACGTAACTTAGATGTACTTTATGCCGAGTTAGAGAAATCGTAACTTAGATGTACCTTATGCCGAGTTAGAGAAAACGTAACTTAGATGTACCTTATGCCGAGTTAGAGAAAACGTAACTTAGATGTACCTTATGCCGAGTTAGAGAAAATGTATGTTAGATGTACCTTATGCTGAGAGAAAACGTAACTTAGATGTACCTTATGCCGAGTTAGAGAAAACGTAACTTAAATGTACATTATGCTGAGTTAGAGAAAACGTAACTTAGATGTACATTATGCTGAGTTAGAGAAAACGTAACTTAGATGTACCTTATGCCGAGTTAGAGAAAACGTAATTTAGATGTACTATGATATTTTGGACAAACTTGAATATAAAAAAAAACTGATGTATCGCTGATAAAGTATATGTGGTAAACTAAGGTATTTTTTTAAATCGATATTGTGTAACAAATAATAAAAAAACACATATTCATGCATCAAAATGTTGCAGTTATTTGAAATATAATCCCCAACTTCTTACGCTTCGATGTTTTCAACTTAAGAAAATAGAAATACAGGATCTGACATTTTTATGCATTCAATCCTTAAGTTTACTTGTCAATAAAAACACAGATTACAAGATTTATACGTCCGGATTGTGTTTCCTGACAATTTGTTTTTATCACAACGCCCACTTTCGTTAAGTATATTATGAAAAAGTAGAAAGTCTTATGAACTTAAGTTGAAAATAAGGCTACAATGAAGATGCAGTATTTCATAATACTGGTAAGTTTGTTTTACTGTTATTTCAGTCTGTTATCTTCTTTAACCACTAAAACATCTGCGTCAATAGACTTCTCATTTGGAACACCGTTGTCGAGAAATTTATTTACATATTGCGCATTTGGTTCAATTATATTTAAGGAATATGTTGTCTTGAGTACTGCTAATTCAGAAACTATTGCGTGCATATATTATTGTAATGTTTTAAGAAAGGCCAAAATGCGAGATTAATTATTGCGATTTCAGGAAAATCTGCATACAGCTATATGTATCGGATATTATAATGCGAGTTCTTATTACTGCGACACTCAACTGGTCGCATTATTCGCATTAATAAAATCCTCGCAATAATTTCTGAAATCACAATATGTGTTGTATATTTTAAAAGAAAGATTTTGGAAAGATTTCTTGAATACATTCAAAACTAGATATTATAGAAAATATTGCGATTTTTCTTTTGATGAATATATAATTAAATGGAAGCTCAGCATGACATGTAGATTGTAAACAATAAAATTGATTCATGTTGAAAACCTTATGATACTAAGTTGGACCCTTAGTTTCTTAATAATTTATATATTTATCAGCGGAGAATTTAATAAGAGTGGCGAAAGGTACGACAGGGATATTCAAATTCTTGAATGTAATGAATACACTGTATAAACTGCTAAAATATATTCATTTTAAGATCTTGTCTTGAAAATTTAAATGTGAGCCAAGAAAAAAAATTTTTTTGCCTCATGCTGTAGTTTACAAAGACGTTGATGTATAAAATATCTTTTTGGTCACTGACATCTCACTGACTTTTGTGCACTAAACTTTCCGGACTATATATTAATCTGTCCATTTATCAATAAACTTTATCTTGAATGGCTTGAATAATTTTGCTATATTTTTTTATTTGTTTCGGAAACCAAATAATGGCTCTTATTACACCTTCTCCTTTAATGTATCTGATCTTTGACTCCAAATGCAATTGAGAATGGAGGTGCCAAATTTCTACATATCTGATTAACTAAACTTAATAAAAAAAGAGTAGAACTTATTAACCCGGACTTGAAATATAAGAAAATCGGACATACACGATTAGTTCCTTATACTACAAACGACCTATCTACGTAGTATGGATGTTAAGATAAGCTCGCTGTATTTGATCTTCCTGACTTTAAAGGCATACTCGTACAGATCAGCTACATTTCTGTAGTAAATATTCTCTTCTTTCTTTGCCTTTCATGGTCAAAAGGAGTATATTAAGGAAATGTTACTTTTTACAATACTTGGATACAGCAAAACGAATAACATGTCAACAACTTGGATACCATTATCGGTACTTTATCACAATCAATGAACAAAAAACGGATTTATGAAAGTTGTGATATGAGGTTAAATTTTAGAAAGTCTTCTGAATTCAAAGACAAAAATAATGTTTTTTTTTAAATGTGTTATTTTCATACAAGCGCACCGATGTATTTTAAAAACCATAAGTAGAATAAAAAAGAAATCATACGCAAATACAAAAACGACGAAAAGACAAACATCAGTCCACATGTGCGTCACAAGAATTTAAAGAATGAGTCACTAAAATTCACAAATAAAATCCGAGGTAAAGTCATCGTTCAGGTCCTCCAGACAGTTAGAACGTTCATGCATAACTAGTCGGACCCATCGTGTTGCTCATGGCAAGTAAAAAGTCGGATATATGTCGCATTATATGATGTAATTATCGAAGAGACGAGGACAGTATCTTGGCTACAATTAAAATAACACATTGGAATCAGATACGGTCTCTATAGAAAGCAAAAATAGGAAACTCAAGCTAGGAAATATTGTTTCAAGTAAAAAATTCCCGAAATTAATCCGTGCTATTTATTCATTTATGACAAAGGAACATTTTCATCTAATTTAACAAGGATCGGCTATTCTTGTCTTATGCAATGGCGAAAAATTTGGTTTACAACGTTGAATATAACCACGTGATTAAACTTCTTTGTAGATTGTAGTAGGAATTGTGTGGTGTACCAATTATCATTTAAGAAGAAATATCAAATGTACCAAGTCATATGACTGTACTTCAACCGCACCTTGCTGTAGGGATGCTCACAATCGTACACTTACTAACCAGGACCACCTTGGTATGTTATTTATGTATAATGAACTACAGTAATTGTAAATACTGAAAACCTGCAACAAAACTTATCACATGTATCATTGATTTTAAATTACGAGAAAGTATTAAATGAAATTTAGTGTCTTGTTCTATTTCATGGTTTAAAAAATCCTATCCTGCCTAGTTATAGGTTACTTAATAACATAGACTGAGATGATGATTTCAAAAAGGTCAGATCCAGCGAGAAATTTTCAGCAAAATTGGGGCCGTTTATGTTATTCACAAGCCCACGCACCTCCCCTCCCTTTATGACATGTTTGACAAATTTGCATATCAAGTTTTTTTTTTAATTTATAAAAAAGATATCTTTTCTTTCAACTTTTATTACAGCTTGTAAATATAACTTTGAAGATACAAATTTAGAAAGATATGTTGATAGCAGCTTCCTCTAAAAAAATGAATATACCAACTGTCATATGGAGGTGACAAATACATATAACATATTTTGTTAATATTTTTTCTCGAATTGTTTATACAATTCAACCGGTTCAGACCAATTTTATAATTATCTAGTTTTAATTTTCAAGTGTTATTTCCCTCAAATTCTTTTCAAATACTAGAAGTATAAAGTAAAATAACAAAAAAAAAACCGAACTCAAAACGGAAAGTCCCTTATCAAATGACAAAATCAAAAGTTCAAACACATCAAACGAATGGAAAACAACTGTCATATTCCTGACTTAGTAAGGCATTTCCTTATGTAGAAAATGGTGGATTAAACCTAGTTTTACAGCTAGCTAAACCTCTCACTTGTATGACAGTCGCATAAAATAGGATTTAAAAAATGATAAGAGGAACAGATTTACCATTTGCCTCATTTATATGATATTCATGCACTACGTGTGCCTCATGTGGAGAAGTGATCCTACCCTACCAGAGTACCTTTGAACACCGCTGCCTTTTGGTTGGGTTCGTGTTGCTAAGTCCTTTGGGTTGTATGTAGTATTTTGTAGGCTGTTGGTTGTCTTTTTGTAATTTTTCTGGGTTTTTTTGCCCGATTTTGTCTTTCTTACTTTGACTTTCCAGTTTTGATTTTCCCTTATGTATCTTCGGTCTCTTTTCACTATCGATTGTTTAAATCCAAGCCTTGCATTTCAAATCTGACTTGTTAAAATTATTTAAATTGAAAGGTCTGCAAATTGCCTACTAGTCTAATGATATGATTATTACCTCATTTACATTTTAGTCCCGCGTCTAGACCGTTCAAATGGAACTTGTTCAAGTGTACTTGGAAAGAAGGATGACTTTTGTGATTCTTCTTGTGGATGCAAAACAGGTAAGTTTATTTAAATAAAATGAATAAAGCATAAAAAGTATTTTGTTTTTTTTACATGCGATGTTGTCATACGCGTACAACAAAAGAACCTCGATTTAATCGTTAACGACACGGAAAACCTGAAGTAAATAATGAAAGGCGGTCTAAATTATATAAAGGACAAAAATTAGGACATGTTTTTGTTCTCTGTTTGCATCTCTACATAACTCACGGTATTCGTGTGGTTTATAAGCGTTACATCTCTATCAATATGATATGTTATGGTCAGTTGATTTCCAATAGATACCAATGTTTTCAAATTTAACAATGATAACGTTTATACAAACTTGGTGTATGTAGTCAGTCTGTAATTGTCTCGTATTGTAATTTTCTTGTAGTCTCTTGTATATTATCTGAAATCTTTTCTGAAATCTCATAGGTGTAAATAATTCCTGTAGTTTAAGAAGGTGGTTGTTTATGATTTTGTTATTGTCGAGTGGTATGCCAAAAATTCTTTTATAAATGTATAGTGTCAGTGAACAAAACATTTTAGGTCACCAATGGCAGGCCTACTAAATATTTTGAGTTAATTTTATTTACCTATCCCAAAGACCAAATTTTCATAATGTAAGCCTTCCATTGATGATCACATCAACATGTATTTTACAGCTGTAATTTAGGTAAATTATTTTCTGTGTGTATTGATGAGAGGTCCTGAAGTCCAATATTTCGTTCAAATAAAACTCTCCTGATAGAGCAAATCTCAATTAAAGTCAAGACAGCAACCCACATAATTGAGCATGTACACCAATCACCAGCTCCAAACACAACTAAACCAAATTTAATTTTGATAAAATTTGTCCCCGAAATGCTTGGGGATGAATGAAATTTTAGAAATGACCAGTGATAAAATTCCATCAAGGAAATATAATTTGAAAAGAAAAATAATATATATCACTAGAAAAAATTGCTGAAATGTTTCCCTTGTCATGATACATTATTGAAGGAGTTAGGAAGGTGGACGGTGGGTGGTAAATTGAATAATAGCACTGTAAACTATATCAACTAGTCAGACTGCTATGAACCTAGAAAGTGATTATACAAAGACCATGCATATGGCTTCACACACAGATTGGGTACATCAATCAAACACTTGGAGGAGACTGACCTCACTTGGCCTTCAGAATGATATACGAATTGCTGTGCAATAAATTTTATAATAATTATATGCTTGTTTGTATAAACAAAACTTATATAACATATAAGTAAAATATTAAAAACATTAAAAAGAAAAAAATATCATTAGTTAAAAAAAACAAAAAAACTCGTATCTTAACTCTTAAAGTGGTTCTTGAATAACGTCAAGAGTATAATGTGAAGAGTCAGACTTTAGTATTATTTTCGATTAATTTGTTGCCACCAGTTTTTGCATCAAATAACAAAAAAGACGACTGCATGTGCATAACGTTTTTATGTGTTTTTTTTTTTTACAATATAAAGGTATGACACAATTTTCATACCTAGTGATAACGATGGGTTTTATAAAAATCAGATAACTCTAAAATGTAATGTTAAATATTAATCAAATCATATATGTATTTTATTATAAATACAATATGCCATAAATATGTGTTTTATCATAAATACACCATGCCAAAAGATAAAAAAAACCCCACAATTATGTTCGTCATACATGTATCATTATTAAATTAACCTCGTCATTCATCTTCATAGACCATCTAACCTCTACAGTAACATTATTTCTATTTTATTCAAAGGTATGATTTAAATCCCAAACAAATACTTATATCTAGTGATTTGTTGGATTTTGTTATAGGTTACAAATGTTATAGACCTATGGCTGGAATAGAACTTCCAACGAGATGTTATAATGCCACGTGGGTAGAACAGCAACAACATTACTGGGCTAATTGTCACCCACCAACATGTTATTATCCTCCATAAGTCATACCATAAGAAAATAAAGATAGTGAACCACGTTTTTATAGTAGACAAGATTTACAACAGAAAACAACTGTATTAAACTGTTTAAAGCAATCGGTTATGTTATTATAAATATTTCTCTTAGACTCTTCTGAGCAGATTTAAACTTTTCCTGACCTGTCGATTATTTTTTGTTATATTAAACATGTGGTTCGTTTGATCTCATTTGTGATATGTTTTATCTAAGACACGCGTCTTACGAGTTGATTTTGATAATGAAAATACCACGATTCCGTTATGGGTTTGAGATTTTACTTAATTGTAACACATCGTTATGTACCGGTCGAAAACCTAGGAAATATGAGAAGAGAAGCAAAAGATACCAAATTGATATTCAAACTCATGACTAACTTACAATATAAGTATGGAGTATATCTTATTTACTCCCAGATGGTACGATAGTCCAGAGCTTAAGTGTTTTATTACTATGTCCTTGATACAGAACTGCTGCCTACAAGGTTGCTGTTGAACCAAGGGTTTCAAGTGGTAAAGTACAAGTCATCCCTTCGAAAGTTTTCGCACGTCATCACAAGTTGACCAAAGATGAACACGGATATGTCCTAATTGTCGTAATCACAATCTCTTCTTCTTTTCCTTAATTGTGACATTACCAAATTTGTACTTATAATGAACTTAATGACTGACGTATCTAGTGAAGCAGGATATTCTTACCCTTTCGAAGCAACCAAGATTAACCACAGTTTTTGGTGGAGCTTGTTTTCTTCAGTCCTATATTTTTAATGTAGTATTTTGTGGATTTGTTTGTCTTTTTGTCGTTTGTCATTTTTTTCCATAGTGTTATCAAAATCTCTTCGACTTAAGAGTTTTGAAAATGAACTGACCATTTTATTACTTTTGTGCGTCCATAGTGCTTTTCTGAATTAACCTTTATCTGGAATGCTTAATACTCCATAGTGAAATGAGGAACGTGGTAGAACATCATCAATATATTTCAGTGTGCAATTTAATGAGTTTACTATGCTAACGTATTATATTTTTGTCTCTTAAAAACTTTGTAGAATTCTTCATACCGACAAAAAAACACCTCGGCTGGTTTGAAAACTTACATCTATAAGACTCCTACTATTTTTTTGAAACTACACAATTTTGAGCGATTTGGGAAATGATATATCAAAATGTCACTCATATAAAATTAAAAAAAATAATGATTTATAATTTCATATTCTTCGTCCGGTAACAAGTGCCATTCTTTATTACAAATTGATGAAACGGTATCTTCGAGATTGGATTGGTCATATCCACACTCTTTCAACCATTCTACTTTCATGTTATGTGACGATATATCATTTTCTATAATGTATGATACTTGATTTTCATAAAAACAAAGTTCTTGCATCTTCCTTTCTTTTTCTATACACAGTATTATTGCACTGTTTATTGGCAGATTATACCGTAAGTAAGATAATTTAGTACACGCTCTTACCAATTCAACAAAAAAAAAAAGACAAGCTACGGAACTGCTCATCAAAATCAAACCCTTTATCATCTTCTGAATTGTCAAAGACGAATGAAAGGTTAACCAGTGTTTTGGAATAGCATTTTGTAAAGTGCTTCAAAAGGACTTTTAGTTCTAGATCAGTTGTGAAGAAGGTCTGTCCAATATTTCGTAAAAGTATAAAACATGGAAAGTCTTCTAGTGCTACTGGCAACTGTTTAATTTCCGAGTCAACAAGAAAAGTTGGGCGTATTGTTAGTATCTTATTCCAAATATGATCATTTAAGGTTTCATCGTTGGGAACTGAAATGTCATCTGATTCACTATCTCCGTACAAAGCTAATTCAGAGAGACTTCTATCTACTATTTGCAGGAGGCAATTACCTGTTATGCATTTACGTCGGATTGCTAACTTCCTCAAATTTGCAAATAAGCTGAATAATTTCATATAGTCAAAGTTTCCATAGGGGCTTATCAAAAGAAAATTTTATGCCCTACATGCTGATCGTGTATGATTGAAAAAAGAGTTGAAAGTCCCTCGTCATTATCTATCGAAGGCTTAAAAGACGATATATCAACAGAATTAATATCTAGACATGTTGCCAAAAGGTTGCAAACGAATGAGGAGAACGATTTTGTAAAATTTTGAGTTTGTTTTGAAATGTTTTTAAATGGCATATACCCAATTCCAAGAAAATGTAGGTTCAAACCCGAAATAGACGTTGCTTCTAGTACATGTAAAATATCTTCTAAGTTTTCTTTATAGAAATATAGTTTATAAAGGTTTTAACATTTTGCCTATACTTTTCAATACATGATACAAATTTGTGTATACTCCGCTGTATGTCGACCTTGGATTCCAAGTCATCACAGTCTAGTTCAAAATATTGCCAAACTTTTGTCGCATTAAAGAGATTTTTCCAAGCAAGTATAGCCCATGCCAAGTCGAACTTTTCTTACCAGTTCAGAAAATCTTTTGTGTGAATTACTGTAGTGGTTGGCACATCCAGAATCGTAACCATGTTCTGTGTGTACTAAAGCAAAACAATTCGTCATTATAATAAAAAGCACTATCATATTCAAGGTCATTAAAACTACAAGATGAAAACGAGCTATTTAATAACTATGATTTGCATCACTATCCCAAACAAATTGTCAAGTAATTTTGTATAAACTCTTTGATTCTATTGTGTTAAGTCAAACATTCATGGCAGTACCCTTAAAATAAATGAATATTAACATATTTGAAAAAAAACCTTCCAATTTTTTGTAGAATTTTGAGTCGGATGTGAATTTTCTTTAAATGCCATATACTCCATTCAAAGAGTTCTACCAAGAACGAGGAGTTGCTTCTAGTACATGTTAAATATCTTCTTAATTATCCTTATTATAAACAAGTTTAAGGTGTTTAGCATTTTGCCCATACTTAACAATGTCTGATACAACTTGTGTATACTCTGCTGTATGTCATCACAGTTTAGTTCAATTTATTGTGTAATGTTTGTTTTTTTTTAAATAAAAATAACACCATAAATAATAATTTTAATCTATCCTTTATAGTGTCATAAGTGATAGCATAGCAAAAATACTTCAAAGATCAAATTGTGATATTGAATTACAGTAAGTGAGTAACAAAAAGGACGAAAGATACCAGAAGGACAGTCAAACTCACAGATCAAAAACAAACTGACAACGCCATGGCAAAAAAAAAAAGACAAACAGACAAATAATAGTACAGATGACACAACATAGAAAACTAAAGACTAAGCAACACGAACCCCACCAAAAACTAGGGGTGATCTCAGGTGCTCCGGAAGGGTAAGCAGATCCTGCTCCACATGTGACACCCGTCGTGTTGCTTATGTTATTACAAATCCAATAAATAGTCTAATTCGGTAGGTCACATTCGTGAAAAGGGAAGGGTATTGTAGTCACGACAGGAACATATCCGATATCATCTGTGAAACGGTTATTCCATAACGGTAAGTTTGCACAACAAATGAAGACTATGTTTATTACACATATTTTAAAAGTGTTCCAGAGGTATTAAATCTTTTATCATATTATTAAAAAATACTTACTCAATTAAATGAAAAAAATAAATACTTTATGCGACTAGTCAGTCCTAATACTGTAATAATAAAGGTTGAGGTGGTACCTAACACTACAGGGAGATCACTCTGTAAAAATCAGCTAAACGTTTTAATCACGTTGTTTTGTTAAGGAAATATTACGCTTCTCAATGATCAAAATTAGTGTTTGTCAAACTGCTATATAACCAATGAAATTTTTCTGATAAAGTGGTTGGTTCAAATTTTTTGAAATTTTTATATTTTTGTCAAAAGCTCAAAGTAAACATTTTGTCAAAATTTTATGAAAATTAAACATGCCAAATTAATATTAGTCAAGGTGTTGGGTACCACCTTAAATAATAAATATCCGTCCTATCACACGAAGGTCAGTCCTATAGATACTATTTAAACTTTGACCCCACTATGATAAAAACTGATTTTTATTATTTGAAATCTATTACATTGGAACTATCTTTATAGGACTAAGCAGGTCTATGTGTAATTATCACAATATTAAAACTTACAAATGACTGTCAGCGACCCATATTAATTCATAGGAAACGTGCGTTTAATATGTCATTCTGCATTTAACCTACTTTATATTCATTTATTTTCATATAACAGAGAACATGCATAACTTACATTTACTTGTACAAAGGGAGGCTAAGATTTAAAGAAAATGTCCGATGATCCCGCCCGCCAACCAACATGGGAGCCATGGATAAAAATTTAAAAAAACCCCGCTAAAATGCCAAAAAAATACCGTTTAATATCCTAAAAAATTGTTGAATAGATAAAAATCTGACAGGAAAAAATTGTTCATATTGTCAAAACCTACCTTCTCTTCATCTTTTCCATGCATCAGCATGTTACGGTTATATAAAATATAATCCTCAATTTTAAATCTTAGTAACGGAATGTGCTGAATATCAATTTCTTTAGAAAAATAAAAATAAAAGCTGTGACATTTGTACGCTTCCAATACCAAAGTTTGCTTATCTATAAAAAAAACCATTGCTGAACACTAGAAATGATGTAATATGAAGTAACTTTATGATACTATGCAAAAAATAAAAATGACACTGTAACAAACAGCCCGACCAATAGTTCAGAAGCTATCACAATAAATATTTTGAACTCATGAAGATTACAAGATCTATTCGTCCGGATCGTATGTGTTTCTTGATTAATGCGGTTATCAAAACGCCCACTTTCTTTTAGTATATTATGATTAGAAAAAGAAAGCGTGTATGAACTTCATTTGAAGATAAGGACATAAGAAAGATGAAGTATTTCATCATACTGGTAAGTATGTTTTACTGTTATCTCAGGTTAATTTGTTTTCATAATGCACATTTGGTATTAAGTTATTTAAGAATTTGCTGTCTTTTTTTAACACAAGTGTTGTACCATTTTATTATAAAAAAAGAAGGGTTTTAGAAAGACTTGCACTTTTAACGTATATTATTGATCATATTGCAATTTTTAAATTGATGAATATACAATTAATTAGATGCCCAGTATGACCTTTTGACTGTGAACAATAAAATTGATGGATGTTGAAAACCTTATGATACCAAGACTCTTAGTTTCTTAAAATTTTTTAAATTTATCAGCGGAGAATTTAAAAAAATCACACTATAATTCATGCCAGTTCCTACGCATCGACTACTGAGGTTATGATACCGTCATTTAGGTCACAAATGCGATGTCAACACTTCCGTACTATTAATATCCTGTAATTTTAACATTTAAAGATAGAGTAGACACATACGTATTAAGTTTGTTCCGGTATACATGGGAATATTTTTATGAAAAAGTACATAATTGAAAATGTATTTTCTGTACCTGGTAGTAGGTGAGTATTTTTTTTCTTTTTGACTTCAAAGACTTAAACGAATGATTTTCATCATCACTTTGAAAAAGGATAAATTTCCGTATTTTCAATTTGTTTCGTCTCGTGTTCTTATAGATGTTTATTTTAATGTATTGTATTTTATCTACACTTTTTAAACCTTTTTATTATTTTTATTATTTTTAACCTTTTATATATTTTTAACAATTTTTATATATCATCATCACCGTTACTGTCAAGTACTCTGTTAAGAATATATAATACACGTTTCTTTGTGTGCCATTGCAACAAACCAGGAACACGAAGTTAATCCAGATTCACGACAATAAACAAGGATATACGAAACAGTAAAAATGTTTGTAGTTACGATTTATAGATTGAATGTTGATTACTTAACATTAATTGTCGTTAAGACACAGAAACACACATAAAGAGTTGACCTCTCAGACCGAAATTGTGAATTGTTCGCTCTTTCCCAAAATGAGTTTGGCGTTTCCTTTTACTATAGAGGACATCCTATTTGAGACTAGAGTCCGACCCATAAAAGTAATATGCTTTGGTGTGTCGTAAAACCTCAAAATAGTGTGTTGGGACAAATTTAAGGGATATCGTGAAAACAAGGATATGTCGAGATCCATATAATCTATCTTGTGCTCTAACATATGAAGCCAGTCAAAAACGATCACTTGATCTACAACGTCAGACAATTATTCTTCAGGGCTTAACAGTGAAGCAAGGCCACGGTCTGTTTTGCTGATCGTCTGACGATAACTAAAATCGAACATATATAATGATGCTTACAAGTGAGTAAACCTGTAAATCTTGTTTTAACAAACAAGGACCCTTCGCTAGACTGCTGGACTAGTGAAGTAAATTGTTAACAGCGGTAGTGCAATATAATGTTGATTAAAAAAAAGTTTGATAGATTTTCGACAGAATGGTCTACAATATCGTGTTATAAATATACAAGGCATCGTTATACAAGACGTACGTTTTAGTGCTTACTAAAAAGGGTTGATAAACAAGCTATATCCTCAGTATACATGCACCTAAAGATCAGGGACTCTTTTCACAAAAAATCTTACGACTAAAATTGATCGTAAGTTATACTGAAATGTTCATGACTAACGAGTGTTTTTACTCGTAAGATTTTTTTGTGAAAAGAGTTGCTGATAAGTAAACGTTATCCTTATCCTCTTGAAGTCATTTTACGAATTCGACTTCACATAATTACAAAAAGATTCGATACATGACTGTACCTGAAAATCAAATTATCATGACAATTAAAGTGAACATTATTCTTGTCTTCTAAAAAGTGTTGCAATATTGACTGTTTAAGAAGCATTCAAACTCTGAAGTTCAGTGGTTAGTTCATGTCTATGGCACGCTGGAACTACATTAATTAGACCATTATAGATTTACGGTCGACCATTATAGATGGACGCCGTAAATTAATCTTAACTATACTTTACGGTCGTAAATGCATTTACGAAATCTTCGAAGACTACCTATCATTTACGACTGTAAAAGCATTTACGGTCGTCAATCTATAATTGATCCCGTAAATGTATTTACAGTTATCCGTAAATGCATTTACAATAATTCGTAAATGGATTTACGCCTGATTATTAGCAACAATTCATATGCACCCAACGAAAATGTGTTATCGTAAAGGCTAATTAAATAGTCCAATAGTATCCAAAAAATCCCCCATAGAGAGAGAGGATTGATTCAGGTTTTTTTTTAACGTGCACATAGCGTGACACTTACCTAGACGAGGTATCTGATTCAGAGTTCCTATTCCGAGACAACGTGGCTGTGTATTTATACACCTAGCACAGCCAAACGGACGCCCTCTTCATAATGGGCGCAACTGTTGGATGGGGGAAATCCAGGAATGACCATATTTCAATACATCAGTCAACACTTCGAGTCTTTATGTATGTAGAAATATTCCTTCTCCTTCCAATTCTTCAATTTAAATTTCAAATAAAAACAAAACACAGTTAAAATAAACGGATGATTAAAACCTAATGTTACTTGTTTTCTCGTTGAAGTCTATTAACATACACTTTTATTTATATGAATTTTAATTATTCAAAACAGCAAATTTGACTTTTTAATAGATCTTGCCTTGCTGATCATTTTTGTGATTTAAAGTGTTTATTTATCTATTATAATTTAAATCATATAAGGCATAACGAAAAAAAAATGTTTCTCTCTAAATATCATAGTTTTCATGATAAAAGGCAAAAATGAAAAAAAATGGTAAAATTTGTCATTATGGGCAATAACTCCTATGAGAATTTGTCTAACAGTTTTGACGTATATGGACAATTGGTAGAGTTCATAAGTCTGAACATTTTTGCTCCTTTCAGATTTTCTCTATTTAAAACGGTTAAAAAATAATAGACAAAATTTGCATTTTACCCCTATGCTCTATTTTTAGCCATGTCGGTCATGTTGGTTGGCAACGGGGTCATCGGACACATTTTTTAAACTAAATACCCTAATGATGATTATGGCCAAGTTTGGTTAAATTTGTCTCAGTAGTTTCAGAGAAGAAGATTTTTGTAAAAGATTACAAAAATTTACAAAAAATTGTTAAAAAATTAATATATAGGGCAATAACTCCTTAAGGGGTCAATTGACTATTTTGGTCATGTGGACTTATTTGTAGATCTTACTTTACTGTACATTATTGCTATTTACAGTTTATCTCTATCTATAATAGTATTGAAGATAATAACCAAAACCTTCAAAATTTTCTTAAAATTACCAATTCATGGGCAGCAACCCAACAATGGGTTGTCTGATTTGTCCGAGAATTTCAGGGCAGATAGATCTTGACCTTATGAACAATTTAAATCTGTAAGATTTGCTGTAAATGCTTTGGTTTCAGAGATATAAGCCAAAATCTACATGTTACCCGTATGTTCTATTTTTAGCCATGGCGGCCATCTTGGTTGGCGGGCCTGTTCATCGGACACATTTTTTAAACAAGATACCCCAATGATGATTGTGGCCAAGTTTGGTTAAATTTGATTAAGTAGTTTCAGTGGAGAAGATTTTTGTAAAAGTTAACGACGACGGACGACGGACGCCAAGTGATGAGAAAAGCTCACTTGGCCTTTTAGGCCAGGTGAGCTAAAAACGCATCAAATGACTGAGTAGGTACTACAAAGTTGGCTACAAAAGGAGGGAATATCGAGTAGGGGTTGATCGTTTGCCTTGTTACCTACTCACAACTCAAATAGTAATTTTTGAACAAAGGTTTCTTTAAAGTGCAGATAAAGTGGAACTCTCTCAACACGGATATCTGATTTAACGTACATGTTCCAACTAGTCGGGTTGCATTCTTGGTGCATCATTCAAAACTGCATACGCTCCTTGTGCAATAGTGTTTAACAATTAAATTTAGATATATTACTTGTCAATAGATTAGTTGATCTTATTAGATGACCGAATTGTTGTTGTTGCGATTTGCCCTAGATCCTTTGTTTTTGGATTAAATAAGGTAGCTGGAACGTTTAGAAAGGTTGTAAACACAATTGCTCTTTTGTAGCCTTTTATCAGCGCTGTTTCTAAAGCAATGATTTGCAACAGTGATACATGCTTATCATGTCTCATATTTTGTGGTAATTAATCAGTAGGTATAGGAAACACTATTCCAATTGAAGGCAAAGACGACAAGTAATCATGCTTCATAATAAGGTTTCCTTTGCACTTCCTCAATTTTCATATTCTAACCTGGATTTAGTGTTGCTTTTGAACCAGGATGTTACGTCATCTGCTTTAAAATGGATGCACTTTATGTTGTTTGTGTATAATCACAGAAGGATATAACTAGTTTGACACAAGGTAAGAATTGATTACTAAGATGTATATTGATTATTAATAATTGAAATATAAATGTGAATGCATATTTTAAAATCAACGTTATGGTGGTGGTGAACTATGAATATATATATATATGTGTTCTCCATAACTTAGTGTTGATGTCAGCTTAGAAAAGCTAGCTGTATCTAGTAGACACTATTTTGAAATGGAAATAAATAACACACTCTTAAAAAAATTATGTCTTGACACAATGTCAATATGAATGAAAATTGATTCTTGTGCATTTTCATATGTTTTATATATATATTGTTTTGTGTATTGATAATTTGTCCTAAGGTTTATACATGTTATATGTATGTGTATAGGTAACAGTAATTTGCATTTGTGATAAAATATTTGTTAACTTTCCATGGTCTGTTGTTTATATATGGAACAAGTCTCGTCTCGTGTATGGCATCAGAGCTGGAGTGATAATGTACATGTAAATCAAAGCAGAGACTTCTCCCTTTGTTTACCTGCAACTTATTCTAATTGTTACATTAATTGTTATCCAGAGAAAGACAATCCTGTGATATTGGCTACTGGACGTGAAAAAAAAAACAATTAGTAAGAACGAACTGGAAGTTGTCAGATAAGTGCCGTAATATTAAATGTAGATATGGTATGCGATTGATGTGAATTCGACTTTGGCGTTATGTTATTGATTGGGGAGTCCGTCCGTTCGTGTGTCCTTTCCATTTTGTATCCACATCCGCTCCTGAACAGAATTTTAAGAAACTTTCAAAGAATCATGACAAATTTTGCACCTCTTATGTCAGTTCTTCACCGAAATGATTTTGGGGTTTCCATTGGCATAACATAATGATTTTGGGGGTTTACTTTGGCATTACATGATGATTTTGGGGGTTTACTTTGGCATAATATGATGATTTTGGTGGTTTATTTGGCCTAACATGATGATTTTGGGGATTTACCTTGGCATAACATGACGATTTTGGGGGTTCACTTTGGCCGCATAACATGACGATTTTGGGGGTTTACTTTGGCATAACATGACGATTTTGGGGGTTTATTTTGGCATAACATGATGATTTTGGGGGTTTACTTTGGCATAACATGATGATTTTGGGGGTTTACTTTGGCATAACATGATGATTTTGGGGGTTTATATGGCCTCACTTGATGATTTTGGGAGTTTACTTTGGCATAACATGATGATTTTGGAGGTGTACTTTGGCATAACATGATGATTTTGGAGGTGAACTTTGGCATAACATGACGGTTTAGGGGTTTACTTTGGCATAACATGATGATTTTGGGGGTTTACTTTGGCATAACATGATGATTTTGGGGGTTTAGTTTGGCATATCATGATGATTTTGGAGGTGTACTTTGGCATAACATGATGATTTTGGAGGTGTACTTTGGCATAACATGATGATTTTGGAGGTGTACTTTGGCATAACATGACGGTTTAGGGGTTTATTTGGCCTAACATGATGATTTTGGGGGTTTACTTTGGCATAACATGATGATTTTGGAGGTGTACTTTGGCATAATATGATGATTTTGGAGGTGTACTTTGGCATAACAGGATGATTGTGTGTTTCAGGTTTACGACATATAATCTAGATACACAAATTGAGAAGTTCGTGCGCATGTTAAACTGGTTTAACCCTATCACATTTTAAGCCTGTACATCTTTATATTTTCTTTTCTACTAGTAAAATTAATACAAAAACTATAGATAAAAAGTCAATATATTTTCTATATACAAATTATCAACCTGTTATTATTATAACATGACGTTGACCATAGATGAAAAAGGTCGGACACTTACCATTGTTCTTTTGGAGAGAAATCTGTTGGGAGTGTATTTGAACGTTAAATTTGGGGAAAATTAAGATAGTATCTAAAAACACTGTAAAAGTCAATGTGTTGAGTAAACACTGTCCAATAAACCTAGCTTTATTTATTCCTTTTGTAAACAACACATTTTAGTAACAATTGACAAATTGATTAACAAAGCCCTCGCACATAACAAAATTTTAATAGAATAACTATGTATAATTCTTTTTAGTGACTTATGTGCAGTATAATGTTTTTCTCCAAGGTCAAGGTGAAACTGAGATATTTTTTGTTAAGGTTATTTTTAAATACACCAGTAAAGTACAAATGAACTTTATGAATGCATTAACATAAATCAATACATGTTTCATGTTGAAATGATCTGTTACATCGATGTGAATTGGATATTTTTACTGATTTCAGTATATGCATGTACTATTACAAAAATTTCGCTAAATCACACAAAGAATTGACAATATCAACTTCGGTTCACTGGCACACTTAATTCTTTTTAAAGAAGTAACTCAGTAAAAACTTCATTCAACAGGATGTAAACAGGTGAAAATAAAATAAAAATATAGTATGAAGAAAAGTTTCGTCGTCTTTGAATTCAGTCAGGAGTAAAGTATATGTTGATACGTTGCCAAATCCGTATATGACGATGAACAGCGAGTAGCATCGACATTTTAAGTTCGAAATTTTCAAATTATAGTTCTTCAGTGATAAAAATCAAAATTCACAAGTTTTGTTTTTTTTCTTTTTAAATCGGTAAGATATTGTTGCCATGGCTGAAAATGGAACATAGGGGTAACACGCAAGTTTTGTGTGCTATTTTGAAACCCGTTATTGATGGAGAAAATTTCACAGAACAAAATTGTTCAGTATGTAAAGATCTACCTACTGTCCTTTTTTACCAAACTTGTCAGAGACTTTTCATAGGAGTTATTGCCCTTAAATTACGATTTTTATCAATTATTTCCGTGTTTGCCTATCATCGTGAAAACTATTATATCAGATTATTACATGACAGTTTTCATATCAGATGTTGTATCTACCTTTAGTCAAGATATCAGCCATCGAGCCCTCAAAACATGCATCTTATATGAAAATTATCATGTTAATATGATCTTTTTATCGCACACTTCCACTTTGAAAAATATCATTCTCTAAAAATGTTTAATTTAGAAAATATAAATCTCAACTACGCAATTTGTACTGCAAGACAACAACATAGCAAAAATTATTAGAAAGGCTACTTTACAAATTTGTCAACAAGGCCAAAGTTGTCAGTCGAATCATTATTAGAGTTATATTTAATGATAATTTTACCCAATTGTATGCGAAACGTTTAAAAATAAAGAAAACACCAGAAATTTTGAGTAAGAGAAGATTTACAAAAATTCATCATTGCAGAAGTTGTCAGTTTACCACAAATAGGAATTATTGCTCTTTAATGATGATTTTTACCTCTTGTTTTGGGTTTTATTTTTATGAAACTATAGACAAATAAAGAAAACCTGTTAGCAGCAAACATGACGAGAAAGATAAGATCTGCAAAAAAGTCGACGGTGCCAAATAGTCAGTTGACCCCTTAAAGGAGTTTTTGCACCGAAATGTTGATTTTTTTATTGCTTTGTGCAAATATTATAGAAGATAGAGAGATACTTTCAATAGCTAAAATATCAGCCAGACCAATAAAAACGTGACCAACAAAGATAAAATTATCTATAAACAACTGATTGGAGTTATTGTCATTGAAAGATGATTTTTGCCCATATTTTGGGCAAAAACTGTGTAGATAGCGAGAAATTGTATACAGAAAAAAATATCGCCAATACAAGATCAACAAAAATAGATTTTAGTTATGAATTATATACGAGTCTACAATCATCGTTGCGGCAGATGCACATAGATCGAGGTGTGTGACACAGGCTGTGTTGAGCTTCTTGTAAGTTGTAGAGTTTCGTTATCATTACCTTTGATTTGTTTTTAACTTCTCACTTGTTTTCCCTTTTCTTAATTGCATTAGGAGTTTTCTCTTTCTGTATTTCAGCTATCAGCTGTCTGTCTCTCCCTTATTTTGATCTTGAATCATTGGTTGATTAGTTTTGCATTATCTTTTTCTTCAGCTTCTTTTAGTTTCAAAAGAACGTCAGTCTCTGTTATAGTCGCCCCACTTTCAGGAATTACATGAATTTTCTTTCTTTCCTGTCTTTTGTTGTTCTGAAGTTTTTTGGTCGCTTTCATTCAGTAATATATTGATGGTTCTTACATTAAATATATTTTCATTCATAATCGCTAACTGTAAACGAGTCAGACATCTCGTCTTTAGCACCATTGTTGTGTTTACCATTTGAAACTCGGATTATGTTTTTGTCAATTACTCGGTAATCTTTGTTCAATTCAGTCAAAACTGTTGTAGACTCGAGGCGAATCTGGTCGAACGCGTGTTTCTTATTGAGTACGTGGTTTTATCTCTAAATAAAAATGTTATAAAACGAGTAAATTGTGTCATGGCTATTATTAGATTTGTTTTAATGATTTTTTTTCAAGCTTGAAATAAATATGTCTATTTTTGTCTCGCCTTGACGAAGTCTACAAGCTAGAATTTACTATGCTTTTTCCGGCGGCGTCATCAACAATTTGTTAAAGTTTGTGTTTATGTCAGTTTAAGGAGAACCAATTATAATAAGTTAATGATATTTGGTATGCAGTTTAATTGAGGTCTGGAGCTGGCATGTCAGTAACTGCTAGTAGTCCTTTGTTCATTTATGTATCATTGTCATTTTGCTTAGTTTCTTTTGTTACCTATTCTGACATCGGACTCGGACTTCTTTTAAACTGAGTTTTACTCTGCGTATTGCTATGTGTTTCTTTATTCTACATTGGTTAGAGGTATAGGGGGAGGGTTGAGATCTCACAAAACATGTTTAACCCCGCCGCATGTGTGCGCCTGTCCCAAGTCAGGAGCCTCTGGCCTTTGTTAGTCTTGTATGTTTTTTAATTCTAGTTCATTTATATGTTTTGCAGTTTATGGTGGCGTCCCTTTTCACTGAACTAGTACACAATTTTATTTAAGGGCCAGCTGAGGACCACCTCCGGGTGCGGGATTTTTTCGCTGCATTGAAGACCCATTGGTGGCATCCGGCTGTTGTGTGCTCTTTGGTCGGGTTGTTGTCTCTTTGACATATTCCCCATTTCCATTCTCAATTTTAGTTGTAATAGCATTGACTCATCTTTTTTGGCCCTGCCCCCTCAGTCATGGTCTTTTGCTTTTGAAACTGAATTGTTTACATGTTAAAGTTTGTGATTAGGTCTGTTTAAGGAAAACCACTTATGATATAATGATATTTGGTGTGCAGTTATATCAGCAGTGGCATATCTTATTTCCATTTCCATGCAAATGTGAAAGTATTGCTATTGTTATTTCAACATTTGCATTTACTATCAAAACAAACAGTCGAGACATATCTCTGTGTCATCAGTTTATAGTTATAAAACTTCTATTTTAGTTCTTTGAGTCAAAGATGTCCGACTGGATTCCTCTGGTTGCACAAGTTAAGTCGATCGTCCAGATATCTGCTGGCGATGAAGAAGGTGCAAAGCAAACCCAGGAAACATTTGCAAAACGATGTCCTATTGTTTCCCAAACCGTATCTGTACACCAAGCGTTCAACGGGAACATGGAAGGTGCAAAGGAAACACAGATGGAGTTTCTCAGCATGATAAATGACACAGTAAATAGTATTCCAATAGTAGGTCATGCAAAAGGTGTGGTGCACTATATAGCCGGTGACAAAATGGGTGGCGATGAAGCTATGAAGTCCGCCTCACATACGACTGGTACTATAGATCGTGGTATTGCTGGATTTGGATTATTAGGACCTATTGGTGCAATTGCAGGAGGGATAACAGGAGGGGTAATAATGGATGCAACAATTACAACAGCGGACACATTAATCCATGACGAGGATAAACCATACGGATACTTGAATCAAATAAAACAAATAAAAGAAAAGCCCGAGGATGCGGGTCAGTGGGTTGATATGGCTACTTCTCTAGCTTTTGATGGTCTTGCCGGACATACTGCAGGAGTGGCTTACAATCAGCAAACGGCCAAGGCAAAAAAGAACAGAAATAAAGGCAAAAGCCAAAAAAAATCAGAAACCATCAACGAAAAAACCAAAAGTGAAATCTGAAAATAATAACCGAAATGCTGATTATAAAATACAAAAACCATCAGACTCCAAAAACAAGAAGTCAAAATCACAGAGTATCGAATCCCATGCTAAATCTGGGAAACACCCTGTTATGTTATCAGGTATGTTATAAACGTATCTAAATCTGGGAAACACCATATTGTGTTATCAGGTATGTTATCAAAGTATCTAAATCTGGGAAACATCCTGTTATGTTATCAGGTATGTTATCAAAGTATCTAAATCTGGGAAACACCATGTTGTGTTATCAGGTATGTTATCAAAGTATCTAAATCTGGGAAACACCATGTTGTGTTATCAGGTATGTTATCAAAGTATCTAAATCTTGGAAACACCCTGTTGTGTTATCAGGTATGCTATCAAAGTATCTAAATCTGGGAAACACCCTGTTATGTTATCAGGTATGTTATCAAAGTATCTAAATCTGGGAAACACCATATTGTGTTATTAGGTATGTTATCAAGTATCTAAATCTGGGAAACACCCTGTTGTATTATCATGTACGTTATCAAGTATCTAAATCTGGGAAACACCCTGTTGTGTTATCAGGTATGTTATCAAAGTATCCATGAAATCAGTGTCTCAACAATTCAGTATAAAAATAAGGAGATGTGGTGTGATTGCCAATGAGACAACTATCCACCAAAGTTCAAATGAAGTGGATGTAAGAATTTATCTGCCGATGGTAACGACTTTTATCGGTGGTTGCGAAAAACAATTGTATATTGTTTATTCATAATCTTCTTGTTAATAAACTTTCGTCGATTAAAATATATATTACTACATGTATATGCGTATGAATACGATCAATATTAACGTCACTTATCCGGTACGTTGTGGCCAAACGTTTTGTATCAAAATATATGAAATTGTTAGAAGAAAATAAATTACACCTTGAAAGCAAAAAAGGTGCCTTATTAGAACACCTAAGCTATTCTAAGATCTATTTTATCCAAGGTAGATGGTGGAGTGTCCAAAAATTTAAATTCATAAAACTAGCGATCAATATATAAGAACGCCATAGTCATATGCAATTTACATCTTACATAGATATAGGAAGATGTGGTTTGAGTGCCAATGAGACAACTCTCCATCCAAGTTACAATTTATAAAAGTAAACCATTATAGGTCAAGGTACGGCCTTCAACACGGAGCATTGGCTCACACCGAACAGCAAGCTATAAAGGGCCCCCAAAAATTACTAGTGTAAAACCATTCAAACGGAAAAACCAACGGTCTAATCTATATAAAAACGAGAAACGAGAAACACGTATGAACTACAGACGACAACTACTGTAATCAGATTCCTGACTTAGGACAGGTGCAAACATTTGCAGCGGGATTAAACGTTTTAATGGTACCAAACCTTCTCCCTTTTATGAAACAATAGTATAACATCACAACATAGAAAAACACACTATAAAATATCAATTAGAAGGCTTAACTCAATCAAAAAACGTAAATTAACACACAATGAACGAATAAATTTGACCTGTGACACCTGAATGCAAATACACAGTTAATAAAAAGTTACAAGGGATAAATAATAAAAGTCAAAAGTAAATAAACAGGTTTAAACAAAGTTAAAGTATGATATCACTGTAAAATTTCAAACAATTTATAGAAAATCTATTACGGCATATTAACACGTATGTAAGAATAATTGATATATGTTGATGATATAGGTTATTTCACTAATGTTTGGTAACCTTTTTTCAGAAACAAAAAATTACCAAGAAACCAATACGCATCAGCCAGCGTTTTAAGTCACATTAGCTATTGCAGATTTTACTGAATCTACTAATGATGCAGGTACAAACGTTGTCTATAATGTTGCTTACTATTTTAACAGATTTATCTTTTGCAGAATTACAGTCAGTGTTATACTTATTATTCCTGAGTAATTGTTTGTACACAGAAGCTATATTTGATTTACAAATTATGTATTTGTGCTTAAACTAAGTTTCAACTCCCTCTGGCAGAGATCACAGTAGACTTTTGTAGAACTATTTCGGTTTGAAGCTCACTCATATTTTATTTGTTTGCTTCACTAGAGTTTGATCGCTTTGTCCGTTTCTAATAAAGACTATTCATGCGCATTCAAATCGGCATCAAACGTTATATATATATGTAGGACTCAAATCTATGGTGGGTTCCAGATCTATGGCAAATTCCTGCAAATTCCTAATCTATGGCAAATATGATGTCACAAACGCAAAACAAATCACAAATCTATTGCAGTTTTTTGTTTTCTCCAAATCTATGGCAGATTTGGATATTACGTAATTATCCGTCACAATTAAATAACTTCATGTAACGTCGAAGCTGTCGCTGACAACGACGGTGTTGTTATTCAGAAGGAAAAGAAAAAGATAGAAAAACAAGTTTGCAAGGATCCTAATCAATAAATAAAGTGTGTTTGTTTCTACCCTTGTTTTCTTATTTTCGTGTTGCTGGTGTTGCCCTCACCCTTACTTGTACGAGCTTTTACTGTGCATTTTGGTTTGCTTTTTGCTGTTTTGTTATTTTTTGTATCCCTATGATCTCTGTAATTTTCTGTTAGAAGTAACACAAATTAAAGTATTTTGTCAGCTATATAACAGTGACTACCTGTACTATTGTAGCAAATAATCTTTCTTGAGATTTGGAAATAATGATTATGTCATATATTTCTAATAGATATTAATATTATTTTCCGCTATAAATATGTCGAATAACTGTACTGGTAGAGAAATAAGGATTTCTTTTTAGAAAGTCACGTGTTTGAGGCCAGTCATTGTTCATTACAGGACTTAAATCGTCATCAGTCAAAAAAGATTTACATTATTTAGCGCTCAAATCGACATTAGTTAAAAATTCAAACTGCTTTTTGTATTGTTAAGGGACTTGGTTAAATGAAGAGGCAAACAGGTACCATGCACAGAGAAGGAAATATGTATTCTTCCGGGGCACATAATTTTAACCTTTAAGTATGTGTTCATTTTACAAACAGTTATGGATATGGTAATAATCCTAATCCGTTTTTCTTATACTGGTTTTTACTTAAAAGCAGCTCTGTGGCTACCTTTGGACATTTCGACATCGAAATCACATGTCAGATATGTACTGACTAGTCCGACCTTTGCAGAAAATTTGTCATAGATTTGAAAACTAGAAACCCGCCATAGATTAGGAAACTAAAAAGTTGCCATAGATTAGGATTCTAAAAAATCTGCCATAGATTTGGGATGGCATGACGTCATATTTACCATAGATTAGGAATCTGCCATAGATCTGGAACCCACCATAGATTTGAGTCCTACATATATATATATATATATATATATATATATATATATATATATATATATATATATATATTCATAAAAAGTAAAAAGAAACACAAAGGCCAATCAAAAAGCAAAAGTCAAAGAAAGGCAGTCAGGAACATCGAAAAAAATAAATAAACAAAACAACAACAAAAAAAAAAAAAAAAAAAAAACATATATCCCTTGCTCCAGAAGATTAGGGGGAAGCAGTTTCTTCTCTACTAGAAGGCAATTCTGTTATATCATAAACTATATTTAAAAATAATGTGACTTTCGAAAAATATTAAAAATTTAAAGGTTGACGTAGCAACTTTTAATTTTAAGATGGCATAATCCAGTAACATCGTAGAGAAGATATTCCATCATAAGATCGTATGAATAAATTATAAGAAAATATGCATTCATGAAAAGAAACTACATTGCAAATACACTAAAATCAAATTGTTGAATTATGTTTCAATAATGAAAGCAAATTATATATATATGTTGGCGGTTAGTGAAGAAGGAATTGTGATAAACATAACACCAAGCAAACAAGAAATAAAAATTAAGTGAAGTTCAAGTTAACCTAATTAGAGAAATAAAACTATTCCATATTGAGACCAGCAATTATTTTCCCTTTTGGTTCAGAAAGAGAGGCGAAAGATACCAAAGAGACATTCAAGTCACAAGTCGAACATAAACTGACAACGCCATGGCAAAAATAAAAAGACAAAAGGACCAACAACAGTATACAAAACACAACATAGAAAACTAAAGACTGAGCAAAACGAACCCCATTAAAAACTTGGGAGATCTCAGGCGCTCCTGAAGGGTAAGCAGATATAAGTCTAATTCGGTAGATTACATTCGGGAAAAAGGAGGACGGGATTGTTGTTACGGCAATTCGAAAATATCTGTCGTCATCTGTGAAACATATATTCCATAACGGTCAACCAACTCGCTCGTGATAGCGTCCGTAAAATTTTCGAAGGGTGATTTCAACTTCACCACTTGTAACGCTTGGTTTAAAAGCTTCCTTATGAGCAGCAACCCCTTATCAAGAAAATCATGATAAGAAACGCAAGCTGATGATATCGTATAAACTGGGAGATATATACTCTATATACAGGCGCTGCTGGAATGTTGCAACATAAAAATGGAAAGTTCACAATTGCGAAGTTGAAATCATCTCTTTTGTCTGTTCTCAACCGACCCTCATTTTCAATTTCTAAATGTAAGTCAAGATATGAGACAGACTTAACTGTATCTTGTATATCCTTTGTTTCAAGTTCATTGGGATAGATTCGTTTAACATAGTCACCAAACTTTGAAATATTTGTGAGATGACGTCATCTATATAGCGGAAAGTAAAGTTAAAGGATAACGCAAACTTCTATTCATTTTTCCTAACAAACTAAACTTATACCAATCATAAATGCGCACAACGTCTCACAAGTCTGCAAACTGGGCCAAAAACGTTTAAACCTCAGATATATATTTCTCACCATTTTTTACATCGCGATGACCTTGAAGTAATTCTGATGTATTGCTATCGCCTAGATTTCCATTATGTAAATTAGTTTTGGGTTTGTAACCGATCTATAAACATGATAAATACGCGCACATAAACGAGTGCAAAATAACATTCCTTATCGTTTGATATAAATACAACTCTTTAATGAATACTGATAAAAATATTTTTGTTTACAACATAAATTAATAATATGAAAATGTTTTGTAGTTAGATATATATATATATATAAGTAAAAAATCATTGATAATATCAATGCACACGTACCGAAAATTGTGATCAAGCATGCGGAAGAATATCTCAAAGAACCTTTTGCGACAATACCGACAAGTACCGGTAACTCTGTAATTGTTTTTGCGGGAAAATATGAATGCCTACTCGTATCCAATCTTTAAGAAAAATCGAATTTTGACAGAAAGTGTCCACCATGCACTTGAATTGCACTATTATTAGAATAGTAGAATAGAATGATATACAAATGGATGGAAATCATATATACATGTAACTGTTATTTTAATATGAAATATAACAACAAATCAGTGTATACTGATTTGTATCACTACAATTTAATAGTTATTACGGTGAAGTTAAATTTCCTGTCATTTATTTATCATCCCCGCACAAACTTGTTTCAGAAAAAAAATATCTCTGTACATTAACCTCAGTTTCAGGTAAAGAGATATATGATTTTTTTCTGAGACAAGTGCTGTTGACCATCCACAAGAACTTGTGGTCATCCGATGTTCAGTACTTCAGTACTTTGATTAAAACTTTACATGATCTTAGGGCTAGTTGTTTTTTGGCAAAGACTGCGACTGTCTACATTCTTTTTCTATACACATTAACAAAAAATTAAAATTACGCCTTTTATATCACGTCTACAAAACATATGATGTAATCTAATGTACAAGTAATCCAGCATAAAGTTATCAAAAGAAAAATAAACAATTATAATTTGAATTTTTTGTCAACAGCTGCAACCATGGGTAAAGTAATCGTAGCTTCTAAAGGGATACTGGACAACAGCTCGGCAGGTAATTATAGTTTATTAATATTTAAGTTGACAAACATGTAAGCAAAAAGTAGACGAAATACTTGGGTTGTGTTTTTCTAAAACCATAAACTTTAATTTGATCAATGATAAAAAAAATTATACCACACATTTAACTCCGCGCATGTTTTTTGTTTCATTTTTTTAAACAACGTTACCATTTTGATTATTGAAAGTTGTTGTTTTTGAGAAAAAAAAAATATTTCGATTTTAGGGGAGATCAGTGGTATACTTAAGTTTAATCATTTAAGTAGGGTGTGGCAAATATATTATCTTAGACGGACTGATTTTGTGAATCATGGATAACATTAATAACGTAAAAAAACTCAACATGGATAGAAGGATAACATTTTGTACGCCAGGCGCGTGTTTCGACTACAAAACACTCACCTGTGACACTCGAATCAAAAAAGTTAAAAAGGCGAAATAAAGTACGAAGTTGAAGATCATTGAGGACCCAATAGTCCTCTATACATACATACAATGTTGGGATACTTTGAATTTGTTTAGACCTTCCAACTGTTTTGATTCGAGCACCACTGATGAGTTAGCATACCAAATTATAAGCCTGGTATCTTTGATGAGTTATTTAAAGCGGATCGGAAGATCATTATTTTTACAATTTTAGCATAAATTATAAGTTTTTAAGTCATTCTTCTCTTGATTCTCACCTTTTCTAAGTAAAAACAAAAACCAGTGTTTTTGTAATTGCAGACACGGATAACAAATCGATACACCTTTACATTCTTGAAAAGGTTATATTTCTTGGCTTTCTGAACTTTTGGTCTTGAGTGTACTTGATGGCGACTATCCCAAAAAAACGATTTGCATTCACGGAAATCAAATTATTCATTTATATATCATTCAACATACGTATCGTTGAGAGCATTAATACACCTGCAGCAATAACTATATTCAGTTAAAACTAAACGAGTTACACAATAAGAACATTCGATATGCTTCTTAATTATATTAAGAAACAGAATTAAGGAACCAAAGAGTATATAATATTACAGTTTAGAATATTCGAGAGCAGTTTGACAAAACATCCTTTCGAAAATTTCTGTTATATCAGTCATGCTGTACATATTCAAATAGTGTTAGTTTATGGAATTTTGTATAATTTTAAAACATATTTTTCCTTTATTCATCAATTCATGGTTTTCAAACAACAGGATTTTTGAAATTTCATTGTTTGTACCATGTTATGAATATGGATTGTTATGTCGTTGTTTTGCCACAGAGTCCGTGCTTACACGTTTTAAAGTATTTCTCAGAATGCATTCAATTCTATAACTGTATTATGTATCAAGGAATTAATCATCAAAGCACGGTAAATCGCTCTTTATGTATAAATAGGCACATGACCCTTGTGACAGAACAGCAAATGGACTAAACAAGTTGGCTTGTTCCGCATAAATGACTTTACTCCATTTCGGCGTTATATTTTGTACGTACACTTATTTTGAATAATTTTAATAGGGCAATTTGTTGCATAAAAACAAACGCGTGGTTGTGTGACGATACTTGTAGTGTCTTTGGGTATTTTGATACATGACTGAATAGTAAACTACGACCCTTGCCTCACCCCAAGACGTTTCATGCAAATTTGGGGAGTTGGGGAAGAAGCATCGATAGTGTAATGGACGACATTTTTCACAAGTGAATTTTTGGACTTAATCACAGAGAGAAATCTCTGTAAATCACCAACTTCTATATTACAATATATAATAGTATGTTTAAACAAATCATTCTTTATGTAGGTGAATTCCTGGTAAATACTTTACAGGGGAGTAGTTCTGCGAGGTTGCGACATAAAACTACTGAAAGTAAAGATAAAGAAGTATCGGAACGACCTCAATTATTTCATGTAAGTCTATTAAACTGAAACTAAAACAGAACGAAAGGATGGCCATTTGACAGGCCTGAAATTGCAGAAAGACAAAATTCTTCAATCCTAACTAATAGTGTACGTATATTTTGCTTATATATATGCCGGTCTTGTCTAAATAGTTGATTGTTTCTGTATTTGACAATGAGGTTGTCGGGTACATTAATAAACTAGATGTTAAATTAATTTTCTTTACCCAGCAACTTTTCTTCGATACACATTTGTAGCGTTTCACGTCTGGCAAAGAATTCAGGATGAAACCGGTCCGTCTTGATATCGCAGTAAGAAGTACGATTTTGCTCCCCGTTTTAAAACCTTACTATGACGTTGATACAGAGAACACCAATGAAAACAGCGTTTCTTCAGCTTCTGGCAAGTGCGTGTTGGGATTAAGTGTATAGAAATAATTATGTTATGTCATGCTCTATGCACATTTTAACTTAGGTAGGCATCGATATCTTTATACTAAGCGTTAGCAAGGTGCAAAATGTTGACAAATATGATGCATACCCATGTTAAACTGAGCATAGGACATTTAAGACACGTTCGAAAGGCAACCATTTTGATTTGATGATGCCATTTTGAAACGTTATAGAAAAACAACCGTTTCATGATTCAAAACTGAACAGATGCATGTAGATTTATATTTTATTTAATTTCCTAGCATGGGATATCGACCAAATACTAACGTCCATTTTGATTCGCGGAGTTATTCAAAAAACAAGTGACGTTGCAGCAATTTTAATTGTGACGTCAATCACGTGCACATCATGTGCTATTTGAATTATAACATGGGTTTGTTTACAAAGCGAAAGAAGAACGTAATATTAGAGTATGATTAGATACACCATATTCATTTTTTTATTACACAAATAAGATTATGAAGTTTTGCTACGTCATATAATGGGATGTCCTTTTGATATTCGAAAGGTTTTCACTAATATAAAAAGCCATTGTCAATAAGCTGTTTGTGATTTCTGAATATTGATTTGAAGATTACAGAAAGAGGTTATTTAGTCAGTTTTTTTTTAAAATTTTCCCACTTATCCAATTCAATAAGTTTAAAGACCTACAGCAGATATATGAGTAAAATTCAATTGATTGATTGATGTTCAACGCCTGTTTGATGTTGGATATTTCGTGGGATAAGTTTTTATTGGTGGAAGAAGCTGAAGTGTCCATAGAAACCACCGATCTTCGACAGGAAAACTGACAATCCAATTAAGATTGGAAACAAACGCGCCAGCCACTTTCGATGTTCGAACTCACAACCTCGGTATTCACGGCTATTTTTACATGTTGATTATACTTTGAGATTTTCGATTTCAAGGGGCCAAGAACGATATTATCATATTTACCATAATACATTTTGATCTTTACGTCTTATACAACTTTGTGTACACTCATGTATTTTTATTTTTATTCGATCAAAGCAAAATGGATCAGACACAAGTAAAACATACTTAATGTATGCCGTCGTTTGAGGTTTTATTTCTTCTTTTGTCTATTTTATTTTTTTAATAACAATAGCAAGAGTTACAAATAAAGCATACACTTGACGTTTATTTATATGATTTATCAATAGAATATAGGAACAATAAAGTAAAATAATAGTATTCGTGAATTTCATCAAGGATTTAGAAATATATATGCATCTATATTATACATAAATATATAATAAAATTTTATTGTAGATTCCTAAAGAAGTGAAAGTGATAAAAATATCTCAGTTATTGAGGGGAGATCATATAAAATATAAAAGACTCTTTGGCTACTCCCATCATGCAATAGTTACCAACGTTTTCCCAGAAAGTAATGAATATGAGATCGTTCATTTTCAACCGCCAGCATCTGGAAATAAAATGAAAGATTCACCACTCATCAGACAGGAAATGAAACAATTAGATGAAGCGTTTTATGTCTTAGAGTATAACGAAAAGGACCGTTATCTTCACGAGGCCACAGCCACCATGGCAGAAGTTATCATCGGGTACACAGAAGAGGATAGGATAGCTATATACAGTGTGTTCAGCAACAATTGTGAACACTTAGCCACATATTGTGTTACTGGTCAAGCATACAGCACACAAGTTGAGAATGGCAAGGAACTTGTGAAAGCATTGGTCAAGACCGGAATGATTGCGGCGTCGAAGAGTGTAAAGCGCCAAAGAGAAAATATTGAAGCAGGTTAAAAAAAAAGACAAGTTCGTTTATGTGTGTAAATATGAATTACTGTCAATGTGCAAAACAAGTTTGTGATAATTTTAGTAAATATATAAAACATATAGACAAGCAACGACTGGAATATTACTTAATACGATATATCAATTTACACGAAAGTAATTAGTCTTTAATATAAGTTTAAACGATAAAAGTGTCATTTTTGTAAATTTCTGTCTGTAAAAATCTCTTTCATTGTATTTTAATTATAACATTTTGGTAAATAAAGTATCTTTTTAGCTATACAGATATCGCACACCATGATCGTACACTCCATTTTTCTTATACATCATTAAGAACTTGAAGCAAGGCGCTCGATGACTTGTCAACTAATTGACGATACTGTTTATTTGTTAAATTGATTGTTAAATCTGTTTAGAGTTCTATAAATGAAAGGAATTGAATAGAAAATAAAACTACAAAAATGTACTCTATTCCCCCATGTTTAAAACAGAAGTCATTTCAAACGTTTTTAAGTGAAACAAAGTTCAGACTATGTTTAAAAATAATAATAATAAGATGTGGTATGATTGCCAATGAGACAACTTTCCACCAATGACAAAATGACATAAAATATAACAACAAGATGTCACTGCGCGGCCTTCAACAAATTTTAAACCCTTACCACATAGTAAGCTTTGAAATGGCCCGAAGTGACAAATGTAAAACAATTCAATCGAGACAACTAACGACCCGATTAATGTCCAAAACAATTAACAAAAAATAGATATGATACACAGAAACAAACTACAAAAAACTGAATTACAGGCTTCTGACTTGGCACATACATAATGTGGCGGGGATAAACATGTTTGCTTGGCAAAACCCTCCCTGTAAAATGGGACAGTAGTGTCAAAGTATACTGACATAAGAATAAGCTGTGTGAAACGCGGTAAATTGTTTTTTGTCGAGCCTGCGACTTTGGTCGCAGAAATCTCGACATAGGGATAGTGATCTGGCGGCGGCGGAGGCGGCCGCGTTAACTCACTTCTTAAAAGCTTTATATTTTAGAAGGTAGAAGTCCTGGATTCTTCATACTTTGTATATAGATGCCTTATGTTATGAAGTTACCGTCTGTCATATGTCCATTGTCCTTGACCTCATTTTCATGGTTCAGTGACTACTTGAAAAAAAAAGTTAAGATTTTTTGTAATGTTAATTTCTCTCTTAATATGAGTAATAGGATAACAATATTTTATATGTGTGTACCTTGCAAGGTCTTCATGCCCGTCAGACAGTTTTCTCTTGACCTCGACCTCATTTCATGGATCAGTGAACAAGGTTAAGTTTTGGTGGTCAAGTCCATATCTCAAATACTATAAGCAATAGCTCTAGTATATTTGGTGTATGGAAGGATTGTAAGGTGCACATGTCCAACTGGACCTTGACCTCATGTTCATGGTTCAGTGGTTTTAGTTAAGTTTTTATGTTTTGGACTGCTTTTCCTATACTGTATGCACTACGTCTACTATATTTGGTGTATGGAATGATTGTAAGGTGTACATGTCCAACTGGCACTTGTCATCTGACCTTGACCTTATTTTCATGGTTCAGTGGTCAAAGTTAAGTTTTTGAGGTTTTTTTTTCTAATACTATATGCAATAGGTCAACTATATTTGGTGTAAAGAAATATTTTATGATGCTCATGTCAGTCTCGCAGGTTTTATTTGACCTTGACCTCATTTTCACAGTTCATTGCTCATTGTTAAGTTTTTTTTATTATACTTCACGTTAAAATGCCATATTTTGATTGGCTAATACGAGGGTGTTAATTTACTCTATTACCCTTCATGGAGACGCTTGATAATGGAATTTGATGCGACTGTCATACTACAAGTGAGAGGTTTAGCTAGCTATAAAACCAGGTTCAATTCACCATTTTCTACATAAGAAAATGCCTGTACCAAGTCAGGAATATGACAGTTGTTATCCATTCGTTTGATGTGTTTGTTTTTTTTGATTTTGCCATTTGATTGGAGGCTTTCCTTTTTGAATGTTCCTCGGAGTTCAGTATTTTTGTGATTTTACTTTTTGATCAAGTGTGCGCTTTATTAAATACGACTCTATCCTATGGCAAATACTCTATTACCTTTCACGGAGACGCTTGATCAAGTGTGCGCTTTATTAAATACGGATGGTTGTTATGTACAAGACGTCATAGTTTATTACTTTGAATTTGAAATTTAATTGACAGTAATAACAGAACGTTCAGTATAATAAATTAAATAACACATATCTGAGAGGGTGATAGAGCAGATTGTTACCCCTCGAAAAGACATTGTCAACCTTGGCTTCGCCTCAGTTGACAATGTTTTCTCGGGGTAACAATCTGCTCTATCACCCCTCTCAGCTATGTGTTATTTATATAGTGTTTTGGTCTGTTTTTCTTAAACTATAAGCAATAGGTCAATTATATTTGTTGTATGGAAGGATTGTAAGCTGTATATGTCTGCCTGGCATGGTTCATCTGACCTTGACTTCATTTTCATGGTTCATTGGTCAATGTTTAGTTTTCTTGGTTAAGTCTGTTTCTTAGAAACTATTAGCAATAGGTCAACTATATTTGCTGTATTGAACGATCGTAAGGCGTACATGTTTTTCACGTTTGGTTTATATGACTTTGACCTCATTTTCTTGGATCATGTTAAGTTTATGTGATAGTTATAGAAAAGCTTTATATTTAGGACATCAACATAATATCAATGGTTTGTAAAGAAGGCGAGACATGTCAGCGTGTGCATTCTTGTCTTTAAATATATTTATAATGACGTCAGACTTTATCAGCGTCCTTGAAAACTAAAAACAGGAGACAACGTGTGATTCTGGAACTAAGAAATTTCTTTTTATGACAAAACTTTGCACATAAAATAAGGACAACCTGTACATAAAAGTACATAAGAGACGAGTTTAAACTTGTTTTTATGTATATCAGCCAGTATGGTGATGAGGCTATTCTACAAGGATGATTTCATCAGTTCATAGGTTAATTTTTCTCCTTGGGGAATTTTCAAAAGTTGTTGACTTGGCAAGAGCTTATGGAAATGATAATATACATACATGTACTAACTGAAGTTTATTGTGTTGATTAAATCTAAACTTATGATGACATAATCTTAGTCGCCATTTCCTCCAAAGGGTTACCTCTGACAAAATTTGAAGAAAAAAACTACTTTTTAACGTATCATTCACGTTCTTGCTTAAAGACATTTAACATGGCAATCGTTTTCAAACTGTCATTGGGTCTCATTGGTTGTAATATATTTCGATCGGATTTTAAAATGCGCAAAATATCGAAGATAAGATTTTTAAAATGTCTTGTAGCTGTGTCTGGCCTTATGTGTTCAAATTTTGTAAAGCAATGAAAGATAAAAAAAAATTTACGTTAAAACGAGAGGTCTTCTGTAAAAATGAATAACTTTAATATCAAACTACACCTTTTCCGGATATACCAGTTACTGTAAGTGTCGAAATATTCTCCGTGATCAAATCTTGAGCCTGCAATGTAGATTGTGGTCAAATATTAAGGATATTGACAGGCTGATTTTGATTAAATAGTATCACTCCCTACTCTTACACTACGCCAAAATTGAATTATATTTCTCCCTAGCCTTACTCTATGATAACACTGGATTGTATCTCCCCTAGTTCTACTCAATAGATATTGGAACATTATTCTGGGGTGTCACGTTTAGTTTTTCTTTGCAATTACAATGAATTATTGAAGTAAATTCATTAAATAAGAAACGCACAACCTTCATTAATTTCATTGGAGTCAAACATTCTATTGTGTATACTTTTAATTAAGGTCATTGAAATCCAAAACGTCACTGCAGACACGGCCATAGCAAACGAGTTGGGATATACTTTTTAAAGAGGGATTGAAATGAAAAAGGTTTAGAATATTTGTGTATTATAATTCAAGATTCCAAAAAAAAATGGAAACTCGACTGCCCCTTGAAAAAGTCAATCGCATCTGTGAATTCATTAAAAAAATTATACATGAAAATTCATAAATAAAAAAGGAATTGTTGCAGCTTTTGGGATACTTAAATTTTGCTTCATGTGTCATTTTACCTGGTAGATCCTAGTGTTTCTTATCCCATAGTGCTGTCCACTACTGTCAATGATTCGCACCACTACGTCAAATTGAATAAGGAATGCCGTGTTGACCTAGAGTTTTGGATGCTTTTTCTTGGCAGCTGAAATGGTGTGAACATGTTTTACAGTAGAATCATTCGAGCGTCACTGATGAGTCTTTTGTAGACGAAATGCGCGTCTGGCGTTCACAATTTTAGTCTTGGTATCTATGTGATGAGTTTATTTGTTAGATGTTTTTCTGGTTTGTATCGATCTGATGAGTTTCAAGCCCTTTTCAACTGATTTTTATAGTTTGTTCTTATGTTGTACTGTTACACCACTGTCCCATGTGTGTGTGTGTGTGTGTGTGTGTGTGTCTGGGGGGTGGGGGAGGAAATTGTGAAACTAATATCTTGAAAATGGTGCGTTATTTGTTTTGCTGAATACACATATTTATTCATAGTACATTTCAAACATATATGAATTAATTGAATCTAAATCACTTCAAATTGAAGAGCGAACGATTATATATTGTATATCAAACAGCGAACAGGCCACTCACTTCAGACTCATATTATAGAGAACATGTATAACTTAGATTTGCTTGTACAGAGAGAGGCTAATATTTTAAAAAATGGCTAAAAATACACAAATATAGGTAAAATGACAAAAAAAAATAAAAAAAAAAAAAAATAAAAATCGTCTATTATCTTAAAAATCGTTAAATAGATAGACAATCTGACAGAAAAAAATTGTTCAGAATGTCAAGATCTACCTTCTGTTCATCTTTTTCATGCATCACCATGTTGCGGTTATATAAAATATAATCCTCAGTTTCAAATCTTAGTCACAATTGTGCTGAATTTAGATTTCTTTAGAAAAATAGAAAGCTGTGACATTTGTACGCTTTCAGTACTTATCTATAAAAACATAGCTGATTACTAAACATGATGTAATATGATGTAAATTTATGATAGAATGCAAATAATGAAAATATAACCGCTACTGTAACAAACAGCCCTACTAATAGTTCAGTGGCTGTCACAATAAAAATCTGAACTCATAAAGATTACAAAATTTATTCGTCCGGATCGTACGTGTTTCGTGACTAATGCGGTTATCAAAACGCCCACTTTTGTTAAGTATATTATGATTAGAAATAGAAA